AAATCCCATGGGAAGCAAGTCCAAGGGGAAAAACAATTGAAGACAGTTGGCAGTTTTTCAAAAGAGATGTTATTAAGGGCACAAGAGCAAACTATTCCACTGCAGAGGAAAGATAGGTAGTATGGCAAGAGACCACCCTGGCTTAACCAGGAGATTGTCAATGATCTAAAAATAAAAAAAAGAGTCCTACAAAAAGTGGAAACTAGGTCAAATTACAAAGGATGAATATAAACAAATAACACAAGTATGTAGTGACAAAATCAGAAAGGCCAAGGCACAAAATGAGATCAAACTAGCTAGAGACATAAAAGGTAACAAGAAAACATTCTACAAATACATTAGAAGCAAGAGGAAGACCAAGGACAGGGTAGGCCCGTTACTCAAAGAAGGGGAAAAAATTATAACAGAAAATGTGAAAATGACAGAGGTGCTTAATGACTTCTTTGCTTCAGTTTTCACCAAGAAGGTTGGTGGTGATTGGACATCTAACATAGTGAATGTCAGTGAAAACGAGGCAGGCTCAGAGGCTAAAATAGGAAAAGAACAAGTTAAAAATTACTTAGATAAGTTAGATATCTTCAAGTCACCAGGGGCTGACGAAATGCATCCTAGAATACTCAAGGAGCTGACTGAGAAGATATCTGACCCATTAGCGATTATCTCTGAAAAGTCATGGAAGACGGGAGAGATTCCAGAAGACTGGAAAAGGGCAATTATAGTGCCCATCTATAAAAAGGGGAATAAGGACAACCTGGGGAATTACAGACCAGTCAGCTTAACTTCTGTACCTGGAAAGATAATGGAGCAAATAATTAAGCAATCCATTTGCAAACACCTAGAAGATAATAAGATGATAAGTAACAGTCAGCATGGATTTGTCAAGAACACATCTTGTCAAACCAACCTGATAGCTTTCTTTGACAGGGTAACAAGCCTTGTGGATGGCAGAAAGCAGCAGAGGTGGTATATCTTGATTTTAGTAAGGCTTTTGATACTGTCTCACATGACCTTCTCATGAACAAACTAGGGAAATACAACCTAGATGGAGCTACTATAAGGTGGGTGCAAAACTGGTTGGAAAACCATTCACAGAGTAGTCATCAGTGGTTCACAGTCATGCTGGAAGGGCATAACGAGTGGGGTCCCGCAGGGATCAGTTCAGTTCTATTCAATATCTTCATCAACGATTTAGATAATGGTATAGAGAGTACACTTATAAAGTTTGCGGACAATACTAAGCTGGGAGGAATTGCAAGTCCTTTGGAGGATAGGATTAAAATTCAAAATAATTTGGACAAACTGGAGAAATGCTCTGATGTAAATAGGATGAAATTCAATAAGGACAAATGCAAAGTACTCCACTTAGGAAGGAACAATCAGCTGAACACATACAAAATGGGAAATAACTGACTAGGAAGGAGTACTGCGGAAAGGGATCTGAGGGTCATAGTGGATAACAAGCTAAATATGAGTCAACAGTGTAACAATATTGCAAAAAAAAAAAAAAAAGAAAAAATCTTTGGGGTGTATTAGCAGGAGTGTTCTAAGCAAGATACGAGAAGTAATTCTTCAGCTCTACTCCACGCTGATTAGGCCTCAACTGGAGTATTGTGTCCAGTTCCGGGCGCTACATTTCAGGAAAGACGTGGACAAACTGGAGAAAGTCCAGAGAAGAGCAACAAAAATGATTAAAGGTCTAGAAAACATGACCTATGAGGGAAGATTGAAAAAACTGGGTTTGTTTAGTCTGGAAAAGAGAAGACTGAGAGGGGACATGATAACAATTTTCAAGTATATAAAAGGTTCTTACAAGGAGGAGGGAGAAAAATTATTTTTCTTAACCTCTGAGAATAGGACAAGAAGCAATGGGCTTAAATTGCAGCAAGGGAGGTTTAGGTTGGACATTAGGAAAAACTTCCTGTCAGGGTGGTTAAGCACTGGAATAAATTATCTTGGGAGTTTGTGGAATCTCCATCATTGGAGATTTTTAAGAGCAGGTTAGACAAACACCTGTCAGGAATGGTCTAGATAATACTTAGTCCTGCCAGGAGTGCAGGGGACTGGACTAGATGACCTCTTGAGGTCCCTTCCAGTCCTATGATTCTATGTATTAAGACCCAATACCTTTAAAGTGCAAGTGACAACCGTCAAATAGCTAGAAAAAAATTGATGTATTCTTGAAGACTCACTCATGTAATGAACCAAAAGGTGTGGTTAAAAATCTCTTAACTGATCCATTCATTACCTGTGTGAATCAAAGTACGGATACTTATCTAGGAGTGGTGATTCAAGATGATTACCTGGATGGATCAACTCTCTGGGTAATTAGCAAGAGGTTCAAACCCCAAAGGAAGAGTATCAATTAAAAAGTGATTGCAGACCTGCTTTCCCAGTTTAAGTATCAGATGTAGAGGCTAAATCTAGAGTTATTCTGCTTAAAGGTATAGATAGAAAAGGTGGGTGAGGCAATATCTTTTATTGGGCCAACTTCTGTTGGTGAAAGAGACAAGCTTTTGAGCTCACACAGAGCTCTTCTTCAGGGCTGGGAAATGTATTCAGAGTGTCACACCGAAATACAAGCTGGAACAGATTGTTTAGCATAAGGAGTTAACACGTGTTGCAAAAGACCAAGGTTTAGCGAGCAGTTAACACCTCTGCAGTTGTAGGACAAAGGAGGATTAGTGGGTTACACATGGTTGTAATAAGCCATAAATCTAGTGTCTTTATTGAGTCCATAAGTTTCAGTGTCTAGCAAAGTTATGAATTTAAGCTCCCAGGCTCATCTTTTGAAGATGTTGTGCAGGTTTCCTTGGAGGACAAGGACTGAAAGATCAGATATGGAGTGATGGTTTTGTGAAAACTGCCCACTGCTGCCTGTGTCTTCGTAAAATACAGGAAACCCTGATAGTACAAAGCTGGGTAACAAATCAAGCCTACGAAGGGCCTGAATCTGGCAATGTTTGTATATTGATTCACAATGTGACCCTTTCCAAACAGAGATTTCTCTTAATCTGCCATGAGAAAAGAGGGGAATTAAACCCAAGCATATTTCAGAGGTCATTGTGTAGGTGGGGTATCTCTGCTATCCATCTCCTCACTCTGAACTGATGACTTCTGCCATCTTGTAGTATTGTACCTCCTTCAAGGATCACTGCTCCAAAAGTCATATTTTTAGTGGATTGAAGGTTGCTGCACTGACCAGCACAAATGATCTGACAGGCATTGTGATGTCATTTTTCAGACTACCCCTTTGTGGTCAGTATTTTAGTGATTGCAGTAAAAAAATATTGGTCCCTAGTGTGTGTGGTACTTCTGTCTAGGCACTTCTGATCTTCTGAATCTGTAACACTAGATATGAAACATCCATTCTTTATTGGCCGTTCCACTTGTGGTCCAGGAATGAAACCATAGTTCTTAAATTAAAAAGCAAACAAACCTTGCACTAATCATTTTATATTGGGAAACAATCACAAGAAGAATGAAAAAAAAAGAGGTTTTATTGCAGACTATGGTAAATTTGTGCTTGACTATCTGAATTATAAATTACAGTACTTACCCCAGTAGTGTATTACTGGCCATTCTCAATAATCTGATACTTATATATAAATACTTGATTAGTAACCAAAACGGGAAGTAGCTTTATTTTTTTCCTGATATAAATGCCAAATACAACAGCCATAAACAAACAAGTTGTTTCAAATAAATATGGGTGCAAATCATTTTGACAGTGTAACAAAATCTATATGCATCCAAACAACAAATTACAATACAGTAATCACTGTATAAAAGTCCTAACAATGCTGGTTATTGATGGTAGTATAATCTCTCCATTGGAAAGTAGGCTCAGTACAAAAATCTGCAAATAGTTAAATATATACAGTTAATTTATTGAGTGTATAGATAAATATAAATGTATCTGTGCACAGAAACTGGGATTGAGGCACTTATTCAAATTACTATTCACAAAGCCCTTTTTTAAGCAGAAGGGCAAATGTTAATAGGCCTCAAATGATCTTGGTGAAAACTGAAATCCTGAAGCCATAATAAAAAGGCATTCTGTTACAGATGTATTTATAACCCTCTGAATTCTAAGAAACCCAATTTGTTAATTATGGCACAAATCTGGCAGACCTTACTGAAACCAATGGGAGTTTTGTAAGAGAGGATTTCAGGATTTGACCTCATGGATCTCATTGATACTTGTCTATCTTTTCAGTGTTTGATTCCCCCCCCCCCCTTTTTATCAGCAGCTTTGATTCTATATTGTTTTATCTAGTGTTGTTTTTTTTTAATTTAAAAAAAACCCAAAACACTAGAGGCTTTAATCCCCAACAAAGATTTTAAATAAACTGAGTTTGGATAACTGCTCAGTTACCTAAGGGTGCGATACTGCTTTTTACTGTACTATTACAAAGTCCTCTGAGTAATTAGTAATTGCATTGGGCTTGTTTAAAGTAATTACTATACTGTCTAACAGGCTCAGTATTTGGCTTGTAAAATAAATGGGTCCCAGATTGACTTCATAAAAGGAATAACAAGAAGATCTTGTATCAATGTTACCAAATAGCATTCCTATTTGTTAACATTCAAAAGCAGAAAAACAGCTCTGGTGATAAATCCCTAATTTCTGTTTTTATTATAACTTTTTTTAAATTACTTCTCTGCTTGTAGAAAACAGGCCCATTATAAATATTGAAGTGTGCTATTATTTACATGTGTTCCGTTTTACTATAGAGTCATTTATTGCTGGTTCGCTGTACATGTAGAACCTAGGGGACAAATCCTGCATTTGGCTGTGCATTACTCCCATTGATCTCAGTGGGCTTGGTATGCAGAAACAGAGGCATATTTGGCCCTAGATTGTTGTTGCTACTTATCAACTTGTAAATTTGAGGTAAAAGCAAAAAATATCTGCCAGTTAAATCTTTGCTATATCTGGCATGAGTTATAACATGGGTCTCAAAAACACATCAACATTAGAGACATAAAGCACATCAATGGTGGACTTAGTGGGAGAAAGTTATAATACATAGGGTGCCTTCTGGGCTTCTGTAAATAACTGTTTCAGGCCAAAAATGTTTGGTAACATTTGAAGGCCAGTATGCTTTCTGGCTGATTTAAACAGGAGAAAGGTAGGGTTTGGCTCTCAGGGTATGTCTACACTGCAATTAGATGCTCATGGCTGGCCCATGCCAGCTGACTTGGGCTTAAACAGCCCTTTAGCTTGAGCCCTGCGAGCCTAAGTAAGCTGGGCATGGGCCAGCTGTGGGTATCTAACTGCAGTGTAGACATACCCTGAGAGCACTGAAAATGTCTTTAGATCATACAGCCCATTAAGATAAACCCATAAGGAATCAGTGGGTTAGTTTCTGATCTCAGTCACTGGTGCGAATCTAGAGTAACTCTTCTGAAGTCACTGGACTCACATCAGTGTAACTCCAGAGTAAAAGAGTCCAGATGGGTCCCTCTGTGATTCTATAGTAGAGAAAGAGGATGTTCTAGAAACAGCACAAAGAGCCTGATTCTGATTTGACACTGGTTTAACTCCACTGACTGCAATGGAATTACTCCTGCTTTATGCACGTGTGAGAGAGGGTCAGACTCTCTCAGAGCAAGGACAACTGACTAAGACTGTGGAGATGACAGAGCTTCTGTGGGCCAGCAGCTGCAGAGACACCTTTTGGGTGGATCAGGCCCTAACTGGATAAACACTGTAATGAAGCACCATTGATCCAGTCTTCTGCAGAACATGCTGCTGTCATATTACCTTAACCAAAAAGACAGAGAAAACTAGAATTATTCTTCCAAAAGTGAAGTTACTCATAAAACAGTATGTTTCTCAAGAGGCACAATGATTATGCATCAACTTAATAAATACAACTTGCTCCCATAAAATGTTTGTATTTTCTTCCCATTGTTGCCACTTGTAATATGGTAACTGCCTAGTAAGCACTGAATTCTACATCACAATTCATAGCCTCAGTTCGGACAGAACCTTGTCTTCTGCATTTTGAATCTAACACTACCCCTCCTCTAGACACTGCAATGTTACCAACTCATGCATTTCCCACCGTTGGATGTGCACTGACAAATACAATTTACTGTACAAATATTGTTATAATCCATTATAAGCGTAAGAGGACACAACTATCCAGCGTTTGTAAAAATCAAGCTTCCTTTTGGACATTATCATATTCTTTGGTTTTATATAAACTTAAATAAGGAAAAAAAACAGAAGAAGAAAAAAAAGTCAGGTCAAATAGCTGATTGTGAATTCCCAGCGAAGAATGTGTAATGTATCCTGGCATATGTGCCTGCTTATAACTCTGTTGTGACTAATCTATTTGTCTTTGGAAGAAATGTCAGTTAAATGCAAGGGATACAATTCATCACTGGTGTAACTTAACTGAAGCCAAAGGACTCTAACTGGGATGAATCAGGCCAGAGGATTTTCACACTCTACAGACTAACAACAACAACAAGGAAGTTCTGTGTGAGAAATCATTCAGAGAGTGTCAGCATTGCACCTTCCAAGTAGACAAGAGTACAGTAATAAGAGACTTCCTTTTGTATTGCCGAGAGGGGCCCACTAGCACCTTTGGATAATTTCTTCTTTTTAATTGAAAGAAAACACAAAAACAAAACAAAAAAATCTCTCCCTTGCGATGCAGTTTCTTGCAATGCAGCTTAACGTTAGTGCATGATGTACGGACATCAGGATTGCCTACTGTGCAAAACAGGAGGTTTGGGTTGGATTCTTCCTTTATGTGTGAGAATGGTAGCAAGAGCTCAAATCGGTATTTTCAAGTACAGCTAGAGCCATCCGATCTTTTAATTTCCAAGCATAATGGTGACCTTCTGCTAACAAGGAGCAGTTCAAGTTTATCTTTGAGGCACTCTGGAGACAGGTTCAAATCCCATGGTCTTGGAATCAAACCTCAGAGCTGTCACTAGTGTAATTATGTGGTGGCATCATTGGCTCACTGCTCCCTGACCCCTTTGCGACTTCTTTCTTCTCTGAGCTCTGCTTATGCTTTAACAGCAAAATAATAATTGCAATTAAACCGATGGCAAGTAAAACAGCAGCAGCTCCGCCAATGATCGTGACTATGTTGACCTCTGGGTTCCTGTTATTCAGCTCCCTGGGGAGAATTCCATTGACTGTAACTTCTCTTTGTGGGAACTGTTTCTTGTTGGTGCGATCCAAAGCTATGTGCTGAATGTTAGTTCCTCTGCTGTTTTCTATGCCAATTGCTTTAGCAAGCTCTGGAGCTTCTTTGACCCCTCTCTTCTGACGTATCTGCATTGAAGTTCCTGGATTCCCACCACTGACCAGAGAGTGATATTGGTACTCCACACTTCTTTTGCCAATACCTCGGTTGGCACTTTCTTTTGATCTCACAGTGTAGATTGTATGTATGTACCATTCTCTACCCAAAGACACCTAGAAAACACAACATTTTGTTCAACATTACCCACCTCGATGAAGCGGTTAAACACCAATACAAACTGAGAAGTAAATTGCAAGCTGTTTCATCATCTGATCCTGAAATGCCTGGATAGCACTCCTGAGGCCATGCTCAGAAAGAATATGCCACATACCAAGCACCCAGCAGGAATTGGCAATCATGCCATCTGCTACACACAGGGCGTGGAGTCCCTCCATAGCCAGCCTCCATTGCTGCCTGGTGCAGATGGAGGAGCATGAGCCATCTCCTCCCTGGCCTTTTTTGGTGATTGTAGTGTCATTGGCCTCACAGAGTCCTTGTGCAAAGACTACAGTTATGGTTGTACTCCAAAAGAGAAAGAATCATTGCATATTCTGCCCACTATGCATGCCCAACCAGAGGTGAGCCACAATCTGGCCTTGAATTTGCACCAGCTCATCAAAAAGAGGGCATGCAATGAATAGGCCATTTCATGTTCGCAGCGTTGTTGTAGCCACGTTGGTCCCAGGATATTAGAGAGACAAGGTGGATGAACTTTTATTGAACCAACTTCTGTTGGTGAAAGAGACAAGTCTTTTCAAACCTGAAGAAGAGCTCTGTGTAGTTCGAAAACTTGTCTCTTTCACCAACAGAAGTTGGTCCAATAAAAGACACTACCTCACCCACCTTGTCTCTCTAGGGCATTTTATAGCTAGTCCATATCTAATTTTAATAAACTATGTTTACCGCCTGACACACCATGTCAGCATTACCTTCCTATAATTTACTTTTATCCCTCCATTGCCTTCCGTATACCTATCTACCATTGTCTCTTGCCATTCTCATTGTGTTGCAGTCTAAGAGGGCAGAACAAATGACTAGATTATTACTGGAAACAGAACCCTTAAATAGCAAATGGGATTTTACAATCTCTATGTGCCAGATTGTGAAACCCTTACGTACATGGGTGAGCAGTTACTCATTCAAACAATCCCACTGGTTTTAATGGGACTCCACATGTGCTTAAAATGTTCAGCAATCAGAGTAAGGGCTCCCTATTGTTTCTTCTACTTGGTTATTTTGACCTTCACATATGTTTTTGCAAATGTTAAAGGGGCAAAGTAAAATTTGTATGGGTTGCATAAATCAAGAGGCTGAGCATGAATGAAAGATATGGCATCGAGGAAGTAGTTGGATCCCTGCTCACTTCTAGACATTCTAGGGGTTTTGTGCTTTGGACGGTGTAGAATGATTGTACAGAAAGTGATACTGTTTTGGTAACTTTAGTTAGCTGGACTTTGCTAAAACGTACTTTCGACCTTAACTCAGTAAGCATTTGTTTGATTTTGCCAGTTTTTTTTTTTTTTTTTTATTAACCTTGAAAAGTTTATGTTGGGTTGGTGTATAAAGTCCAGAGGAGAAGAGCCCTGCTCTGAAAGGTTTTATGAGGTGCATTTAAGGCCTTATCCAACTCCTGTTGGAGTCAGTGGGAATCTTTCCATTGACTTAAATGGGAGTTGCATCAAGCCCTTAAAATATACTGGGATAAGAGTTCCCCTGCCCTGTATGCGCCTTCCAAGCTCCCCCACCTCATCTCTCTCTGAGACTTCAATTCCAAGAGCAGTTAGCACAGCTCCAGGCCAGTCCTAGTCCACTGTTCTCCTCATCACTCATCCTGAACTTTTCCTCTCTAGATTTCCCCCACCTCTACCTCCACCTCCCAATCCAGGACTGGAGTCAAAAGCAGGTCACTTTATCATCATTTACAAATAATTTTAAACTTTGCAGTGTACGTATGTACCACAGCTTGGTACATGAGTGACCTGGGCTGTAGCCCCAAGAAACTGGAAAGGGCAAAAAACAAGGGGAAATACCACAAAAATAAGAGAGAGAGAGCTACAGGGGATTGGTTCAATCTCCATGAATATTCTGGGCCCTGCTTTCACTTATACTGGTTTACACCTATGCAAATTCACTGACTTCAATGGTGTTGGTGTCCTTATTGCAGTTTACACATCCTCAAGTTCATTATTCTTATAATCAAGTATTTCCTTATATGATGCCTGACTCTATTTTAGATTCTTAGCACAGTATTCTTGAGGCTGACCCATAGACTGCTCACCTGAAACAGTGGTGTTGAGTCTACTTTAAATCCATCCGAGCCAGGTTGCTTGACTAAAGGAATTGCCTCAGGATCATCTATTGCTAGTCTTGCATTAAAAAGCACATTTCCAAAGCTTGTGGCTTGTGTCTCTGGTTGAGCTTTGTCCTAAATGGTGAAAGGGAAAAATAATTCTGTTTGTGCATTGTACATTCGCACATTCACTTCCGCCAAGAAAGAAGTTTTTATATTCATATGGAAATGCAATTTTCCCAGGAACATAATCAACACATACAATTTTATGTAATCTGGTGCATTCCTAAGGAAAAAAAGTGCTCTTCAGCAACATCGTGATTACATCTGACTAGCACTAATTTCTTTACTACCTGAGGATTTTTGCCATAGAAATAAAATGGAGCGAAATTCTATAGCCTTTTTTTTTTTTTTTTAAGAAAAAATCCTTTCAACACCTTCTTTACAGATTATTATAAAGACAGGCAGAAACCCATTCCTCTCCCATTTCACAAATTACCTTTAAATTGTAAATAGGTGAGGGCTCTAAGACACTAACATCAAAAGCTTGAACGACTCTCTCCTAGAAACAATGCCTAACTTCCCCCCCTGAAACTTGAGTCCTTGACCATCCTTGACCTTCTGCCAGCTCAAACCACCTCACTGACTCCCTTAAGGAAAAGGAGCAGATGTCTGGCAAGGACTAATTTTCCTTCTATTTAGACTAGTGGTATAATTTTCAAAAGCACCAAAGTAGCCTTAGGAGTCTAAGTCTCATTTAAAGTTATGGGACTTAGGCTCCTTAAGAGTCTAAGTCACTTCTGAAAATGAGACTTAGATGCTTTAGAAAATTTTACCCTAGGCTGAAGATGATCAGATGACTACTCTACATTGGACAACCCTGGATAGCTCCTGGAAGCAGCCCCTCCAGATCTGTCCAATCAACCTTCCTCTGCTGCTCCACTCTGGACCATGGCAGGAGGCATACCTTAGAGCAGGGGTCAGCAACGTTTGGCACGCGGCTCGCCAGGGTAAGCACCCTAGCAGGCCGGGCCAGTTTATTTACCTGCTGACGCGGCAGGTTCGGCCGATCGCGGCCCCCACTGGCCGCGGTTCGCCATCCCGGGACAATGGGGGCGGCGGGAAGCCGCGGCCAGCACATCCCTCGCCCACGCCGCTTCCCGCCGCCCCCATTGGCCTGGGACGGTGAACCGTGGCGAGTGGGGGCCGCGATCGGCCGAACCTGCCACATCAGCAGGTAAATAAACTTGCCCGGCCTGCTAGGGTGCTTACCCTGGTGAGCCACGTGCCAAACGTAGCCGACACCTGCCTTAGAGAGGGGTAGGGGACATAAGATTTAAGCGTATTCCCTTCACTTCACCCTCCCTTCCACAGGAGATTTTTGTGCCATGGTACGAGGGGCTCAGTTTCCAAGGAAACCCAGGAACCCAAAATGATTCAATATTTGATTCAACCCTTCTAGGTTGTCTCACCCACTGACTGACCCACCACGATGACTCAACCCCCTGCTGACAAACATGAGGGAGATGTCCTCTCAGTGAATCTCACTGCACTCCTAAACTTGCAGACACGAGGGTCAAGTTCTAGGCAGAATGCTTATAAAGGGTTAGGTACCCCTTTTCAAGGGGATCTCTTTCTTCGGAGGCAAGTACTGGGGTATTGTGCAACATGAAAAGGAGATAGCAAGTTCTGCCTTCAAGATTCTGATCACTATTTCCCACAGATCAGCATTTAAGCACTGTAAAATGAAGGTGAGGAAGATTATGAAAGCTTCTCACTTATTCTGTTGGACACATGCAATTTGAAGAAGCATTTTTCCACTATGTAATCTCTAGGAAAATCATTGTAAATAGAAAAGAAACATAGTCAAAGCTGGGGGAGAAATGTAATGAAAAAAGCTGCTACTGTAGGGTCCTTTTTAAGGATGCTGGAATGAAAAGAGCAGTCTCAGCTGAGAGGTAGACTCCTCTCCTTCTCTAAATGTACCAAGAGGTCTATCTGGAAGCCAGAACCACTGCTTGATTACTATTGCCAGGACAGAGCAGGTAATGCAAATAGCAGGTGTTGACAAATCCAAAAGGACTGAGGGAAAACTGTACCTGAGAAATCAGAGAGGTGGCAGAGATGGCATCATATCCATACACAGCACACCTCCACCAATTCAGGAATGGACAGTAATGACAATGGATACAGGGAATCAAATCCAAAACCTGGGTAATAATTCTGCCTGCCCCAACAGACACCCAAGGGGTCTGATTTGTTTCTTACACTTTATCAACATTTGTACAGCTCCTCATATCAACCAAATCTCATTCAACTGAGATCTCTCACTATTCCCATTTAATAAGTAAAATTCCCTGTTCCTGAAAATCAAAGTTATTCTGTTCTTGTTACTTCTGGTGTGGGTTTTCCTGTTTTGAAACGTACAATATATGTAGGCTTGGCAGATTTCGATGATCTTTTAAATAATTTCGATGGAAAATATCGATGTTTATTTTAAAGCATTTTTTCTATTTTTATTTATTTAAATTTTCACAGTTGTGGGAAACTATGGGGCAGGTCAGACAATATGGGCATCAGAAAATAATCATTTAATGACAGTAGATGTTGAGATTCAAAAAGTTAAAGCTTTAAACCCAAATTGTCAACATCACATGTCAAAATACATAAAGTAAATATCCTTAAATCAAACTCTAATAAGTTCTCAAGCAGCATTTTGCTTATTTTGCCTATCTATAAACTTTAATTATCATCAATGGAAATATTTTTGTGGTTTGTGTGTGTACAGTGAAATCAATGTTCCTCAACTTTTACTGATAAAAATCTAATCCTTCCAAGCCTAAACATATGAGACTATACAAGCAACATGTCATACTGTTATCTTGACAAGTCAAACTGTAAGATATGCCACAAGTGCTGAGAGTCCCTAGTGGGATTAACAAGGTTGTAACCAGCACACAGAAGATCCTGGATAACAATATTATGCCCTAACCAAGCTGCACTAGACTAGAACTGAAGTCAAAAACTTGATGGAAGAACATAAGAACATAAGAATGGCCATACTGGGTCAGACCCAGGGTCCATCCCGCCCAGCATCCTGTCTGCCGACAGTGGCCAATGCCAGGTGCCCCAGAGGGAGTGAACCTAACAGGCAATGATCAAGTGATCTCTCTCCAGCCAGCCATCTCCACCCTCTGACAAACAGAGGCTAGGGACACCATTCCTTACCCATCCTGGCTAATAGCCATTAATGGACTTAACCTCCATGAATTTATCTAGTTCTCTTTTAAACCTTGTTATAGTCCTGTTATAGAACCTATCCTTGCATCAAAGTCCGATGCCAACTCTGTCCACATATCTATTCAAGTGACACCATCATAGGAACTAATCACATCAGCCATGCCATCAGGGGCTCGTTCACCTGCACATCTACCAATGTGATATATGTCATCATGTGCCAGCAATGCCCCTCTGCCATGTACATTGGCCAAACTGGACAGTCTCTATGCAAAAGAATAAATGGACACAAATCTGACATCAGGAATCATAACATTAAAAAACCAGTAGGGGAACACTTCAACCTCTCTGGTCACTCAGTAACAGACTTAAAGATGGCAATTTTGCAACAGAAAAGTTTCAAAAACAGACTCCAACGAGAAACTGCTGAACTTGAATTAATATGCAAACTAGATACCATTAACTTAGGCTTGAATAGAGACTGGGAATGGCTGAGTCATTACACAAATTGAATCTATTTCTCCATGTTAAGTATCCTCACACCTCTTGTCAACTGTCTGAAATGGGCCATCTTGATTATCACTACAAAAGTTTTTTTTTCTCCTGCTGATAATTGCTCGTCTTAATTAATTAGCCTCTTAGAATTGATATGGCTACTTCCACCTTTTCATGTTCTGTATGTATATATATCTCCTTACTATATGTTCCATTCTATGCATCTGAAGAAGTGGGCTGTAGCCCACGGAAGCTTATGCTCAAATAAATTTGTTAGTCTCTAAGGTGCCACTAGTACTCCTGTTCTTTCTTAAGTTTTGTGAGATCTTTTTGACATTCTTCACAGTCTGCTTTGGTCTTAACTATCTTGAGCAGTTTAGTATCATCTGCAAACTTTGCCACTTCACTGTTTACCCCTTTCTTCAGATCATTTATGAATCAGTTGAATAGGATTGGTCCTAGGATTGATCCTTGGGGAACACCACTAGTTACCCCTCTCCATTCTGAAAATTTACCATTTATTCTTACCCTTTGTTCCCTGTCTTTTAACCAGTTCTCAGTCCATGAAAGGATCTTCCCTCCTATCCCATGACAATTTAATTTACGTAAGAGCCTTTGGTGAGGGATCCTGTCAAAGGCTTTCTGGAAATCTAAGTACACTATGTCCACTGGATTCCCCTTGTCCACATGTTTGTCCACATGTTTGTCCACAAGCCCTTCAAAGAACTCTAATAGATTAGTAAGACATGATTTCCCTTTACAGAAACCATGTTGACTTTTGCCCAACAATTTATGTTCTTCTATGTGTCTGACAATTTTATTCTTTACTATTGTTTCAACTAATTTGCCCGGTACCGACGTTAGTCTGTAATTGCCGGGATCACCTCTAGAGCCCTTTTTAAATATTGGCATTACATTAGCTATCTTCCAGTCATTGGGTACAGAAACTGATTTAAAGGACAGGTTAAAAACCACAGTTAATAGTTCCGCAATTTCACATTTGAGTTCTTTGAGAACTCTTGGGTGAATGCCATCTGATCCCGGTGACTTGTTACTGTTAAGTTTATCAATTAATTCCAAAACCTCCTCTAGTGACACTTCAGTCTGTGACAATTCCTCAGATTTGTCACCTACAAAGGATGGCTCAGGTTTGGGAACCTCCCTAACATCTTCTGGTAGGTATGTTTTTAAGAGACCCTTGCCCTGCAGCAAGCTCAAAATAACAAATTGTGTTGAAAATCTGAAAAAAAAAATTACACATGCTTTTGATTAAATGCAGAACACTTACCACAATCTTAAATCTATATAAGAGGGATGGAGAATCAGCTAGACAGCCATATTCTGCATTTGGTGGACTATACTTGGGTACATATCCATCTGCTCCAGTGCACAGGAAAACCTTCTCAATGCTACAGTAAAAGGAATCACCCAGGTTCTGTACTGGATCCACCATCACACGACCATATATAATATCACCTGAAAACAATCATTGTTTCAAATACAATATATCATTCTGTAAAGCAAGTATCCAAGTACGTCAGATGAGCTGATGGTGGTCAGACACGTATACTGTGAAACAGCAGGTTATAAGAAACAAGCATGCTCCTTTTAACAAATTGACCTCAATTCTGAGCTGTGCTCCAGTTCCTTTGCATAGCTCTAGCAACATAAATGGACTGGAACCCAGGTGGAGTCTCGCTGGCAGGAATCTCGCTGGCAGTAGGGAATGGGTTGCATTCCATGGCTGGTGTAGTCCTACTACACCTTCCTGCAGAGCTCCCAGCTTAGGGGTTTGCCTGAGGGGCAGGAAGAGGCATGGCTAGAATGTACTGTGCTCCATCTATTCTGGGCCAGCAGAGTAGCCCATAAGTGGCCATACAAGGCTGCTATAACTTAAAGCAGCCACTAGGGCTGCTCAAAAATTGAGTTGGGTGCTTCTGGACCCATAATTCACAAGGAGCAAAGGTATACAGAGCCACTTCTGTCCTCCCCAAATCCCATTTTGGACTGCAGCCTTTTGTCTTCTAAAAATGTGTCTGGAATAGCAAGATACCTTCTTCTATATCAGCAAGACCTTGGCCACAGGGCATAAGAACTTGCTAATACTTAGTTAGATGGGCAGCACTTGGCACAGTGAAAATGACATCTACTCTATGGGAAAACATTCCTCTATTTCCAAAGTGGTTTTGTTTTCAACTCTGGCCTCTTAACACTTGATTAAATCTGTTCACATCTAACTTTGCCAAAACCGAAGAGAGACGTGGAGTTTTTAAGACTTTCTCCTGCCTGCCAAAATTTAAGGCAGGTTTTGCTTGCTAAACCCATAGAAGACTTGTGGGTTGTCAAAAAATATGCAACAAAAGAGCACTGCCAGTAGCAGACCATGGTAGTCCATGTCCAAGAGTCAAACAACCATTATAGTGAATAGGACACTGTGAATTTGTCTTCAGAGAGATATGTGGCTTGTTATTTATTATGTGTATTACAGAAGCACCTAAAGGTTTTGACAGAGACTAAAGTCCCATTATGCCAGGCACTGTACCACCACATAGTAAGAGACAGTCCTTACCCTGAACAGCTTACATTCTAAATAGCCAAGACAGACACAGGCTGGGTGATTTGCCAAGGGCACACAACAGATCAGTGGCAGAGAAATGGATAGAACCTTGGTCTCCTGAGTTCCAGTACAGAGCTCTGTTTGCTGGATCTGGCTGCTCCTCCTTGGGGTGTGAGCTTAGACCTTCAAAGCAGGAATTCCTGAAATCTAATCTCAGTTTTGACTTTGATTTCCATTGAGAGGACAAATCAATTAATCTGCCTTGTTTTCCCCATCTGTACAAAGAGGACTATTAATACTTACCCACTTACATGCCAGATATTAGCATCCCATGCACTATCTTCGTAGGACCATATTGTATTAACTTTATGTATCACTCTGGGTCAGGACTGTATGCAGTGTAATGGGGGAGGGTTGCCTCAGCTCCTCCAGGAATCAAAAACAGTGGCCGGTCATTAAGGTGAATCACTTAGGTTGTAAACATCTCTAGAGAGGTACCACTCCCTGCAGAGGCTTGCATATACTGCTTCAAACTGGGTTTTCCAGAGACCAAAAGACAAAGAAAAGGCTTCTGGCATAAAAAGGCTGAATTTAGATTGACTTGGGGCCTTCTCTTTCTGATCCAGCAATTGGACAGGACCTTCTGTCCAAGAGGGGTCCCAACCCATGAGGAAGGGTTGGAAAGACTTTAGCCTCCTATGGCCCCACCAGACTGACTGGCGACTCCTGGTATACTTAGTGGGTATTTAAATCTGTTTATGGTTTTTATATGGTTTCTCTGTAATGCTTTTGCCTTAAGAATAAACATGTCTGCTTAGACAGAGTGGTGTGGTAAGTTGTAACTGCTGGCAATACATTGTTCGTAGCCAAACCACAGGCGCTGGCCATTACGCAGACTGGCTTGCTGGGGATATCCCAGTGTAAGGCAGAGAGCTGAGCAGTCTTAAAACTTCCCTGTTAGAAGGAGGGGGACAAGGGTTGTGCCCAGAGATAGGTGATGACTGGAGACAAGAGACCTCCTGTCTGGGCACTCCTGAAGTGGACCACAGGGGTGGGAGGGATACAGGGGCAGTTACCCTTACTTTTTAGGGATGTTGTTAGAGGATCAGCAATGTTTGTAAAGTACTTAGAATATAAAAACTGCTATTATTATTATTGCTGCCCTGAGAAGTGAGCAATGAGCTGAACAGGTCTAACCCTGAATGGCGACCAGCAACATGGCCAATTCCCATTTAGGCCTGGCAAAAGCAGAAAGACACGTGGTGGTAGTTTGTTCTGATTGAAAGAAAATGCTGATAGAGCGGAACACAGTAAAGGGATGTCACATAAATTAGCCATTATCTATGTATTTTACCTTCTGTGAAAGCAACATCGCTCTCCTGCCCAAATCCCATCGAGCCATCAGATAACCAGAGAGTCTTCTTAGAGAGGAGGAACATCTGGGTATTCAGGCTGAACTCAGCAGCCACTGGGTCGCTGACCTAAAATACAGCATAAAGCTCTTCAACATGCGGTCATTAATCTGGTCTGTGTATTCACCTATATGAATATATTTACCATGAAACAGCACTTCTTTACACTATCCATTTCTTAATTAATATTAACATCAGTGTCTACTATGTTTGCCTTTACATACTTGATACAAATCAATTTTAATTATGCATATTACAGTAATACCCAGGGTCAGTTCAATCAGTATTGGGGCCCCGTGAGGCGGTGTACTCTACAAACACAAAGCAGAAGACATTCCCAGAGCTTACAATCTAAATATGGTCAAGACGTGACAGGTGGCATAGAATACAATGGAGGGGGGTGGCAGAAGACCAGAGGAACAGTAATAGGAGAACAAAGATACATATATTAGCTAAGAATACAGTTTGGAAGTTGCACACGTTTTGTTTTTAAAAAGATAAATAGAAACAGAGATATTAAAGAATCACTAATAAAAGAGAGAATTCTGTTTTTTTTCCAAACAGTAAATGAACAATCTTCTCACTTGCTCTTATGTGAGGCTGATGAGTCATAAAAATACCATTAGAAACTATCACTAGAAATTATGCAGCTGACCTACTCATTTCTCTTGAAATCACTTTTCCACGGAACAGACTCCAAAATACCAAAGCAGCAGGATTTGGCAACAGAAAACGTACTACTGAGGCTCTTCTTATAGACCAACTGCTACTCTCCATGGAGATGAAACCTAACAACACTGTTTATAGAAGACATTCCTTTCTGATTTGTTTGGAATTTTTCAGTTTTAATGCATGGATTCAGGCTATAGGATCTAAAGTCCTAGAGGTTCAAAATTCAAATGCCTCACTCACACAGCTGGGTTCCAGCTTATTTTCACAAGCGTGTGAAAGAAGAACAAGAGTGGCTGAATCAAACTTTTCTTTTAGAGAGAGTAAATGTCTAATGAATAAGAAACTGGAAATGTATTTTCAGCTAGTAGCACTGGAATTTAGCCATGCAATTTACAGTAGCGTTAATGGGAACTGTATACCTGAATCTTATATAAGATATAGTTATGCAGTTCCCATTAACACTATGTATAGCTGTGAATATACCCTGACACATTCCCTTTTAAATCTATCTATTTTTTTTGCAATTTCACATGAATGTCTCACTGTCACACACTGATTAACTTGTGGGTGTTACAGTAGTAGTTTAAGCATACAATTATTTTCATGATGGAAACACTTTAAGCAAAGGTTCTCAATAATATAACATGTAAAGACTATTTGGGGTGAGAGGAGTATCACCTTACTTGCTTTTAATCTTTGAGATTCACACCAAAATTTAACTGTCACCACTGCAGATGGCCAGATTTTTGTATGGATGAAGAACATTGTAGGAATTCACTAAAGGCAGAGGTGAAAGTAAGCCGGTACGGCCCGGTACGGCGTACCGGCAAGAGCCAGTATGCCGTGCCGGACCAGACCGGCTGGTGATTTAAAGGGGCTCGGGTGGCTCTTTAAAGGGCCAGGGGCTCCACTGCTGAGGGGAGCTCCGGGCCCTTCAAATCCTGGCCCGAGCCCCGCCGCCGCTGCCCCCGGGCTCCGGCAGCGGGACTCGGGTGGCGCATTAAAGGGCTAGAGGCTCCACCGCTGCGGGGAGCCCCAGACCCTTCAAATCCCGGCCCGAGCCCTGCCGCGGCTGCCCCTGGGCTCTGGCAGCGGGGCTCGGGCGGCGCTTTAAAGGGCCCGGGGGTCCCCGCAGCAGGGGAGTCCTGGGCCCTTTAAAGTGCCGTCTGAGCCCCCGAAGTGGCAGAGCCCTGGGCCCTTTAAAACGCCGCCCGAGTCCCGCTGCCGGAGCCCTGAGGTAGCAGTGGCAGGGCTCCCAGGGTGATTTAAAGGGCCCAGAGCTCCGCTGTGGTAGCGGCGGGAGCCCGGGGCCCTTTAAATCGCCCCTGAGCCCAAGGGCTCCCAGCCACCTCTGCAGCTAGGACCTCCGGGGGTGATTTAAAGGGCCCGGAGAATTTAAAGATCCCGCTTCTTCCGTTTGAGGCAACGCCTCTTCTGTTTGAGGCAACGCCCCCTGCTCAGGACTCTGGAGTACCGGTAAGTCCTTTAAGTTACTTTCACCCCTGACTAAAGGGCACATCGGTGGGACCAGAGGACCTCTGGCAGCAAAGCCACTGTGATCTCTGCTGCACAAAGAAGGGGCAGGATTTGGGGAGGGCATGTGTTGTACACCCCAGTGCAGCATGGATCCCAATTCCTCCCTACAGGAGGTGTGCAGAAGGCTTGGAGAGGGAAGTGTAGGGAATGGCAAAAAAAGGGAGAAATCTCCTGCTTTGTGCAAACAATCCTTTCCCTACTGGGGTAGTAAGGTGCTGTTTACAAGGGTACTAGGATTCTTTCTTCCTGGTCCCCAAGATATTGAGGCTGGGCTTTGGGTAGTAGAGTTGCCACTAGCCATGAAGTTACACTGTGTCTTGTAGAAATACCACAAGGATAGTGCTTTCCCAGGGAGAGAAAAAAAGGACACAAAAAGCTTCAACAAGGAAATGTAAAAACAAAGTATTAGAATGGGAGACACCCTTCCCACTTACTTGATACTTGCTTTTAAAAAGAGACCCGCATTCATTCATGGTGTAAACAATTCCCAAGAGGGACAACATAAAAATATCCATCATATTAGTCTATTTTAAAAAATAAAAAACTACACGCAAGGTTGTGTAGTCCAGTAGATAGGGCACTAGACAGGGAGTCAGGAGAGACAGGTTCTATTACCATTTTCACCTCTGATTCACTTGGACCTTGAGACAAGTGACTTAGGGCTTGCCTACATGGTGTCACAGACTGGTCTACATGTATGAACTGTAGAGCACTCTCACATGTTGTGCTCTAACTGCCCCATGGAGACCCTGCTAGTGTGAACTCAAAAGTATCTAGTTCGTGATGATGTAGTCCTGTTTCAAACAGGACTTCATTAACACACACTAGGTACAGGGTCTACATGGGGCAGATAGAGCACAACTCGTGAGAGCGCTCTACAATTTACACTCCCGCAGATCAGACTGCATTACCATGTACTCAAACCCTGAGGCCCAAGTTGTGATACGGGTACTCATTGACTTCAGTGGGACTATTCTTGGAACGAAGTGCTTTTACAATCTGGCCCTTCATCTTTTGTTTCTCCAGCTGTAAAATGTGGATAATAATGCTCACCCACCTTTGCAGAGCACTTAAAAAATCTTAGGAATCAGTGCTAAGTTTTATCTGTCTATGTATCTGTGTTCCTATACTGATGCCTATTATGATGATGATACAGTTTTGGGATCTCAGTCCAGTCTCCAGTGGATAGTTATACACCACAAAAGCCAGGACCAAAATTGGCAACAACTGACAATCTATTAGCTGTCACAGCAGAGTGGCCAAAGATCACCTGGGTCTTGAGGCTAAGGGCTGGTCTTCACTCTCGGGGAGACTGACGCTGCTGCAATCAATCTAGTAGGTGTCGATTTAGTAGGTCTAGTGAAGAGCACTCTCTGGTCGACTCCGGTACTCCAGCTCTCCAAGAAGAGTAAGGGAAGTCGACTGGAGAGTGTCTCCCATCATCGCAGTGCAGTGAAGACACCGGAATAAGTTGACTTAAGCTATGTCAACTTCAGCTACATTATTCACATAACTGGAGTAGTGTAATTTAGGTCGACTTACCCCAAGAGTGAAGACAAGCCCTGTGACACACACTCACTCCTTCAGTAGTCCCCTCCAGGTCAAGGCTGAGTCACCCTGGTGGGGATAGCGTGAGTAATTTGAGTCATTGCCCATTCTGTACCTGTTCTGTAGATAAGGAAAGGACTCCAGCCTCCAGGACTGTCAATCCAGCATCCTTCGTGACTACCAAAGACATTTTTAGAATTGAAGTAAAAACCATGCAAAACATTTCTTGATGGTACCTGTTGAAATCGGATATCGAGGTCAAATGTGATTGGCTCTCTAGGATTACAGATCACTGGCACACTGTACTCTTGGTGAGGTACTGTGGTACAAGCTATCAGCTTCACGGTGTATGTTCCAGAATAGTCTCGTACCTGTTAAAAGCAAAGGAGAGACATGGCACTTCCACTAAAATATTTCAGAACTGGGACAGAGCAAACCAAGGAAGAGAAATCTGAGGTTTTACCGCAAAATCTGAAACAAAGCTCCACTGCTGTATTGGTTGGTTGTACGTTGGTTCACTCCGCACGAGGCTGAGGCTAAATGTCAGGCCTGGGTGATCAGCTGACATAACCATGGAGCTCAGAGAGGAAGCTAGAAATATGTCAACAGACAAGCTTGTCAGTTTAAATGTCTAGCTGCAGATTCTCAGAACCTGAAAAGCATTCCCAGAGATTCATAAGCCACAATTTGACGGCTGATGCTAATACATTTACAGTGCATTGGTTTTATTAACTGAAACAAACAAAACCAATTATAGTCAATACAGCTGAGCCTGCTTGACTCTTGTTCAAATATCTGTTAAACAATCTCTTATGGGGCTATGCAACCAAAGCTGTATAAAGATTAAATTTAACGGAAAGGCAAAACAGGGAGAGTGGAATGGTAAAGATCTATAATCCCTCCTATTTTTAACCTGGAATGCCAACCCAGGGAACGTAAAACAATTTCTGCTGTATTGTAACTCTTTCAGCTCTGCCCTGGATGTAAAATGCAGTATGTATTTTAAAAGTAAAGAAAGAGTGGAATTGCTATAAAGGAGCTTTTTTGGTTAATGAAACTTGGATAAACTAAAATAATTTTATTAATGATGCTTTTTTTCTTCAACACACATTAATGTATATGATTCATAGACTTTAAGGTCAGAAGGGACCAATATGGTCATCTAGTCTGACCCCCCGCATGATGCAGGCCACAGAAGCTGACCCCCCCACTTTCCCTTAGCTCTGCTGTTGAAGTCTCCAGATCGTGATCTAAAGACTTCAAGTCGCAGAGAATCTTCCAGCTTGCGACCCCTGCCCTATGCTGCGGAGGAAGGCGAAAAACCTCCAGGGCCACTGCCAATCCACCCTGGAGGAAAATTCCTTCCCGACCCCAAATATGGCGATCAGCAGAACCCCGAGCATACAGGCAAGAATCTCTAGCCAGACCCTCATTTTACCAGCGATGTCCATTATTGCCTAATTGATTAGAATCACGTAATCCCATCAAACCATTCCCTCCATAAACTTATCTAGCCTAATCTTGAAGCCAGAGAGGTCTTTCGCCCCCACCGTTTCCCTCGGAAGGCTGTTCCAAAATTTCACCCCTCTGACGGTTAGAAACCTTCGTCTAATTTCAAGCCTAAATTTCCCCACGGCCAGTTTATATCCATTCGTTCTCGTGTCCACATTAGCACTGAGCTGAAATAATTCCTCCCCCTCCCTGGTATTTATCCCTTTGATATATTTGAAGAGAGCAATCATATCCCCCCTCAGCCTTCTTTTGGTTAGGCTAAACAACCCAAGCTCCTCGAGTCTCCTTTCATAGGAAAGGTTTTCCATTCCTCGGATCATCCTAGTTGCCCTTCTCTGTACCCGTTCCAGTTTCAGTTCATCCCTTTTAAACATAGGAGACCAGAACTGCACACAGTACTCCAAGTGAGGTCTCACCAGCGCCTTGTATAACGGAAGCAGCACCTCCCTGTCCCTACTAGAAATACCTCGCCTTATGCATCCCAAGATCGCATTAGCTTTTTTCGCAGCCACGTCGCATTGCCGACTCATAGTCATCCTGCGATCAACCAGGACTCCGAGGTCCTTCTCCTCCTCAGTCACTTCTAACCTATGCGTCCCTAGCTTATAACTAAAATTCTTATTAGTCATCCCTAAATGCATCACCTTACACTTCTCACTATTAAATCTCATCCTATTACTAATACTCCAATTTACAAGGTCATCCAAGTCTCCCTGCAGAATATCCCGATCCTTCTCCGAGTTGGCAATGCCTCCCAACTTTGTGTCATCCGCAAACTTTATCAGCCCACTCCTACATTTGGTTCCGAGGTCAGTAACGAATAGATTAAATAAAATTGGACCCAGAACTGAACCTTGAGGAACCCCACTGGTGACCTCCCTCCAATCTGACAGTTCACCTTTCAGTACTACCCTCTGCAGTCTCCCCCTTAACCAGTTCCTTATCCACCTCTGGATTTTCCTATCGATCCCCATCTTATCCAATTTAACCAATAATTCCTCATGCGGAACCGTATCAAATGCTTTACTAAAGTCGAGGTATATTAGATCCACTGCATTTCCTTTATCTAGAAGGTCTGTTACTTTCTCAAAGAAGGAGATCAGGTTGGTTTGGCACGACCTGCCATGATCTTGTTTGGAGGGTTTAATTTATTCAGATATTCTTGTTCACCTTCAGCATTCATGTCCAGAAGTACACTTAGGCCCCGATCCTGCAATTTATCTGTGCAGTTGGAACCATACACCTGCATGTAGTCTAACTGAAGTGAATGGGGCTACAATGGGGCACAAGGGTCAACCTGTATGGATTTGATTGCAGGATCAAGGCCTCACATATGATTAAATGCCACTGAACATTTTATTAACAGCAAAATATGGTTCACATACTCTTTTCTACCGGATCCTCATCTGGTATAAGTCAACATAGCTCTGCTCAAATAAATGGAGCTACTCCAATTTACACCAGCTGTGGATATGGCATGATGTATCTGAAATTCGTTACACATTATGAATTTATGAGCATAGAGCAATGGTCTTCAGCCTGTGGTCCATGGACCTCTAGGGGTCCACAGACAATGCCTAAGTTTTCCAAAGGAGTCAGCACCTCCATTCAAAACTTTTAGGGGTCCGCAAATGAAAAAAAGGTTGAAAACCACTGGCATAGAACAAAGCCCCTGCTGCTGTGCACAGCACATTAAAAAGATCCAGATTTTAATAGTAGGAATAAGATAATAAACAGTATAAAATTCACAGCTATGAGATATTATCAGACCTCAGAATTGACTTACCAGAATGAGACATCACAAATAAACCATGAAATCGGGCTTCAGTCTTGAAGTTGACAACCAAACGCCCTTCTTCACTGATGCGCATACTGGTTGGGTAGAGAGAACCTGCCAATAGATGCCAAGTAGCACTGATTATTCAGCATGCAAATGGCTAATAAATGAGTCATGGTTTGATAAAAAACACTGGCACCCTTTTATTTCACATTGCCAAGTCAGTCAACAATTTGGCAGGGAGTCTGCTGACATCCTTTGGATTTACCCATGGTGACTGTCAAGTAAGAATTTATATGAAGGGCCCATACTTTGTGTGGTACAACAGTCTTCCAAACTATAAAACATGCCTCCTTGGAAGAACAAGGATTTTGGCTTGGTACCCACACTCAAACATTCATCTAGACAGAGAGTTTAATGCATGTGTCTTCCCTGAGGTTAAAACTGCTTCCAACTATGCAATATTTCATAGCCAGCAGAATAATGAATTCATGTTACTTAAAAGTTTTATAATCCATGACAGTTTGCCCGACAATGGAATAGAAAAACACAACAAATCCTAAATTTCAGTCAACATGTAAGAAAATGGAATTTTATGATTTTTCATAGGTGATTGATAAATATCTTGATATTTTTCATTCAATGCAATAACACGTCTGAAGTCAAGTTTACAGACTTTCCAAATCAGAGAGTCTTTCTAGAATAAATATTGAACAGAATGGCTGACCAATGGCAGTTTATTTGCAATTAATTATTTCACATATATACTACAAAGCAATATTTTTATATACAATTGCTTCAAAAATTATTCTGCTGCATGCAACTAAGGCTTCTGCAACAGAGCAAGAGTAAAAATCAACTAAGTCTGAACACATACCTTGGAGCTCTGCTTCAGGTGGGCTGCCAATTCCATCCTTCCACAAGATGGCAGTGTCATACACAAAAGTCAGCCGAAGTTCAGACTGTAGGTCAAAATGCTGCCAGCCACCTACACCCACAGGCGAATGGAAAACATAGGAGACATACAAGGGGACTCGCAAGGTCACATAGGACTGCACTAGATTGAGGACCTATCCAAAGACCAAAATCAGTTAGTTCAGTACATGGTAATGAAATATAGTCCAGTATAGACAACTCTAATGCATAAGCAAAAAATACAGAAGATACAGATTACTGTAAACATTTTGAATGAGATGAGTACACTCTCTTCCAAATTATACATGATGAATAAAGCACTGAATTTCAATGGCTTGCATGTGGATACATATCTTCTCAAGTGCCCTGTTTGTATTTGAAGCAGAATATGTATTCTTGTTCAGTCTTTGTAAATAGCCAACTAACAATGGCTAGATAGAGAACCAGTTGGGGATAGCCGGTTAACAAAACAAAACAAATCTTTGCTTGTACATTTTATCCTTCTCTCTCAACCTTCACCTAGTGCTCATCTTCTGAGATGTCAAATCCTGCAATAACCTCCGAATGGGAGGACCCTGCATTTGCATGGAGCTCATTGCAAGATTGAAGCCTTAGATTACATTCTCTTCATGGCTTGACCTGTGGCTTCTTCTGTGTGTAGACAGCGGGTGTCATATTGCATGCATTCCCATAAATAAATACTAATAGTGCATTGAAGGATCAAGTTAGAATACTTTCAATTGAAAAGAATTAGAAAGTTAAATCGGATTTTAAAAAAGAATATTTTTGGTTTATATCATATAAATACTAATACTATATTTAAATATTTTCAGCCAGAAAAGGTATGTTTTACGAAGTAAAGAAGAACAAGGTTAGAAAATCACTGTTATATACAATAGAGTTATTATCTGACTTATATGCCCTTTTTATTTTCTGAACAGATTTTTTATATCTATTTAATTTAATATTCATTTTTTGTGAAATAATACTGCCATTACTGCCCTATTATTAGAGATAGGGCCATCCAGACCTTGCAACTGAGGAGGAACTTTTACAACACCATGGGTTGCATTGGAGGGGAAAGGGTAAGAGGGTATGGGAGAAGGATGGAAAGATTTCAATTTCATTGGGAGAGGGGCACTTAACTGCCATTTATGGCTTTGAATATCTCCCCCAGATTAATATCTTAAAGGGTTTTAAAAGTGTTTTGCAAGACCTCTAGCGCTGTTTTAAAACTTTACAAGTTGTGTGAAATCCAAACCCTCTCTGGGTTCACCCAGCTCCATTTATTGGGTCTCTCTCACTCGTGTTTTATGTTTTCCTATCCCAGACAAAAAGCACAGTAATACATGAAACCACAAGTATGGCAATATTACTTTTTTGCAGCACTTCACATTCTGAACTAAGTAAGTATAATAGAAAAATATTGTTATAAGGTGTCTGTTATTACCAGTACTTAGCAATTGATCTTGAAATGTGTATTTATGATTCCTAAAGTGCTATGTAATAAAGTGGCCTCACAGCTAATATTAGGTGCTACTGTTAAGTCAGTTAAGATTAATGCTCCTTTGCTGGTTCTACTAAATATGTTCAGGAACTTTTTTTCTGGATCAAGATAATAGCTTTCCTGTCTAGGTGTACTGAATGCCAAGAAGTTCTTAGACAAAAAATTGCTCCTTCAGTCAACTACTGTGACAGACCCAGACTAGTGGGGTACAGGAGTCTGGTAGAGGGCAAATATACTGGTCACTGGATGAGTAGTTTTCTGTTCTCTGAGTGACCAGAGCAGGGGCTGCACTAGAGTAATCAGGAACCTGCTAGAACCAGTTAAGGCAGGCAGGCTAATTAGGACACCTGGAAGCAAATAAAGAAGAAGCTGCTAGAATCAATTAAGGCAGGCTAATCAGGGCACCTGGGTTTTAAAAGGAGCTCACTTCAGTTTGTGGTGCGAGTGTGAGGAGCTGGGAGCAAGAGGTGCAAGGAGCTGAGAGGGAGAGGGTGTGCTGCTGGAGGACTGAGGAGCACAAGCGTTATCAAACATCAGGAGGAAGGTCCTGTGGTGAGACTACGGAAGGTGTTTGGAGGAGGCCATGGGGAAGTAGCCCAGGGAGTTGTAGCAGTCATGCAGCTGTTACAGGAGGCACTATAGACAGCTGCAGTCCACAGGGCCCTGGGCTGGAACCCAGAGTAGAGGGCGGGCCCAGGTTCCCCCCAAACCTCCCAATTGACCTGGACTGTGGGTTCTTCCAGAGGGGAAGGTTTCTGGGCTGTTCCCCAACCCACATGGTGAATCTCTGAGGCAAGAAAATCCGCCAATAAGTGCAGGACCCACCAAGATAGAGGAGGAACTTTGTCACACTATGTATTACACAAATAGGGCCAAGTTCACCCTGAGGTAACTCCATTGACTTCAATGGAATTACCTCAGGCACAGATTTGGCATGTTGTTCCAAAGCAATAAAACAGGATATTAACTTATGTTAAGACAAATGCACGTTGTGATGCAGCTCCACAGGAGATTTGGTTTGCCTTTGATTCAGGGGCAATCTTGCACTCCTGGCACATAGTCAAGATTCAAACCCATTTGCTTCTATAACTAAACACATCTCTACCATCGCTGCCAGCCCAAATGGCCTTTTCTTGATCTTTACATATGAGTTTTGTTTTTCATCTGCGTGTTCATATAGCACAAAACAAGCCAACCAACCAAAGGTCTTAAATTGAGTTTGTGTGTGATGGGAGTGGAAAAAAACCCCTAGCTAAAAGAGCTAACATGGTAAAAGGTTTGACATATTTTCAATTACCTGTTATAAAGAAAACAAGCATAGTGCAATGCTTTGTTTTTCTGTTACACCTTTTCCTGAGCTGTGTACACCAGACATTGTCAGATATTCATGCATAGTTTACTTGAACTAATTAACGTAATCTGTAAGCAACAATTTAGACTTGCATTTCCCCCCTCCATTGTATAGGGCACAAGTCTCTGTATTGGAGACAATTCATTTCTACTGGTGGAAATAAGTCTGAAGGTCCCTGCTGAGTGAAAGTCTACCTCAAAGAAGGGCCTGAAGCCAGCTGGTACAGCATAGAAAGAATGAAAGGCCTGGCTGGGATCAATGAATTAGGAGATGGGCTAATTCAATGCATCTCTTGATCATCCCCCCTATATGGAACTTAAAAGTTATCCTCCCCTGGGAGAACCCATGAAGGAAGGCAGGGGGGATTGTTAGGGTTGTAAATTTTCTAATCACATAAAACCAAACACCGTTGCTCTACCCCTTCCCTGAGACCCCACCCCTTCTCTGAGGCCCTGTCCCCAGCTCACACCATCCCTCTCCCCCCTCCCTATGTTGCTCACTCTCCCCCACCCTCACTTACTTTCACTGGGATGGAGCAGGGGGTTGGGTGCGGGAGAGGCGGAGGGCTCCGGCTGGGGGTTTGGAGTGCGTGAGGGGGCTCAAGGCTAGAGCAGGGGGTTGGGGTGCGGGAGGGCATACGGGGTGCGGGCTCCGGACTCCAACCAGGTGGTGCTGACCTGAGGTGGCTCCCGGAAGCGGCCGGCATGTCCCGCTCCTAGGCGGAGGGGCTAGGGGGCTCTGTGCACTGCCTGCGCCTGCAGGCACTGCCCCCGCAGCTCTCATTGGCCGTGGTCCCCAGCCAATGGGAGCTGCGGGGCCAGTGCTTGGGGCGGGAGCCGTGCACGGAGCTTCCCTGGTCACCCCTGCGCCTAGAAGCCGGACATGCCAGCTGCTTCCAGGAGCTGCACAGAACTAGGGAAGGCAGGCAGCTTGCCTTAGCCCTGCTGCACTGCTGACCGGACTTTCAGCGGCCCGGTCAGTGGTGCTGACTGGAGCCACCAGGGTCCCTTTTCGACTGAGTGTTCCGGTCAGAAACTGGACGCCTGGCAATCCTAGGTAATATTGCTGGGTGTGTGTCAGAGAGAAAGAGAGAGAGGAAAATATGCCAGTGCCAGAATAGCTGCCCTCTCATAGGTTCAGCAATAGTTTGAAAATTGCACTCCCGATGCCCACCAAGATTAATCAAGTCCATTATCTATACTCAGATTCTACCCCAAATGTTATTAAATAAGTTGCATCACTACACTATTTCTTAATAAGCAGAACCCTGCCAGTGAAAATAATCATTTTAGCACAGTAGACAGAAAAATAAAATAAAAAACCATGTAGTTCATCTCCTCGATCAAACTAAATAAAACTAAAATATAATAGGCAAGCTTCTTAAAAAGCTGCTGTAGAGACTGGAGAGGAGACTTTTCCCCTGTATTCCAAGTTGAGTTGCCAGTGAACAGAACCCAAATGCTTCTGGTTCCAGTCTGGATAGAAAAAAAATAAATAAATCAACTAACCATTTCCATATAGTTTGAGAGACCCTATTTTTACAGTCCTACTTGGGATATGCCATTCAATTGAATATGGAAAACACTCCTTCCATTGTGATAGCTCCATTTTTTAGCACTGCCCGCAGAGACTAATGAAAGTAGGCAGCTGTTCCTATTTTAACTTGATGTTATGAAAGCAGGAGGCTAACTGAGAGCTATAAAAGTAGAGTATCAGTTTAAATGCTATGGAGATACAGAACAGGTGCATTACATATCTGTGTATTCCACACTCAGTAGAACTTAGCAGTTGCATTATCAGAGTTTTATTCATTAGCAATAAAATAATGAAAATAATATCTAGAATAATTTCTCAGAATGTTGTATGACTTTTAACCTTATGATGCTGACGTGGATATTCACAGTTCACTGTCACACTCAAAGCCAAGAGAGAGGGGGGCTGTGGGATCTAGGAAATTGTGCCTAATGCCCTGTAACCATGTCATGCCTGGAGAACATGAGAAGATAGAACAGAGGAGCTGCTCCAAGCAGTACAAGAAATGCACTCTACCAATACACTTCTTCCCCGATATAATGCTGTCCTTGGGAGCCAAAAAATCTTACCGCATTATAGGTGAAACCGCGTTATATCGAACTTGTTTTGATCCACCAGAGTGCGCAGCCCCGCCCCGCCGGAGCGCTGCTTTACCGCGTTATATCCGAATTCGTGTTCTATCGGGTCGCGTTATATCGGGGTAGAGGTGTACCTGATAAAGCTACAGATCAATAAATCACTCTAACAGCTGTTTATAAAAGCCATTCCTGTGAGCGAAGCAAATCTTTTATGCCTGTCATCAGTGTGGGGAGTAGATTTACAAGCATCTCCTTTGCAATCTGAAATGTCAGAATGAGCCTGACGTCTGTTTCTGAACATTGATGATTCCCATGCCAGGATTACAAGAGGTAAAAAACAACCCCTGCCCCCACACTCCATTTCTACAGGTTCTCTTTTCATTAGAGAACACTTTATTAGATAATACAAATATGTTTCAGTGCCAAATCTGTCACAGCACAGATTAAATGAGAAAACACACATCAGAAAGGACATTCTCTGTTTTTGGTCCATTTTAGGCACATTTTGGTCATAATTTCACTATTGCAACCCCACTGATTTTAACAAAATGGCCTTAGTTTATGTGAGGGCAGAACCTGGCCCAGGGAAATGATCTTTTACGTGATTGTTGGGATACTATCAGGGAAAGCATGAGAGAGTGTGTCCTCATCGCTAGGTGTTTATAGCATGAAAAATAGTTAGAGGCAAGCAGTATTCCTTGAATCCTTTGTAATATATTTATCAGTGAAGCAGGATTTTCATGCTAACTATAATTTTGTCCTCCAAGTTGTCCTGAACCTATTTTTCATTGCATTAGTGGGAGATCTCTCTTCAATTTCTCCATGCAAGCTTAACAATGTTATCAACCACTTATTTACACAATAACAGTTTGTTAAAGTGAAAAGTCAGCCCCAGGATGGCAGATGGCCAGGTGAGTTAAAGGTGAAATGCAAAACAGGTATGTTTAAAAGAATTTGAATGGAGAGGATAATGGAACGCAGCCTTGACATGTCAGGCCTCTTGAAATGTTTAACCTTTTACTTTGTTGCACAGCTGGTGCCCATATATCCACAAAGTATTCATTTTATAAAACAGTTTTTCTTTTCATCCCTTACTGAATTCACTTATTTACAAAAACAGCTGGGGGGGGGGAGGGCGGCGCAGGAAGACGTGTGTTATGGAACCTGACATGTTTAAGGAAAAATCACAAGTTGATTATGCTAGATGAGCTTGAAAAACTGCCATGAAAATATATATTTCTTTTTATTTGCAGTTTACACTGTTCAGCAAACTTAACAAGAAAATTAACTCGCAGCTCTGAGGTCCAATACTGCTGAAGCTAGATCTAGTGAAGATGGAAAAACACTGTCTCTTTAGAGTAAAAATCTGTGAACTTCCGTGTACAACTCAAGGTAGTAAAATGATCGCTTTTAAATGAATTTTTATATGGACCATCTAAACATCTCAGCCTACACCATCTGCACTATAAATATGAGCTGAACAGACTGGAAGGAAAATCTTTTCAAACCCTGGCTAGAAACAGCCTCTCTATTGCAGAGTGAAATACAGCTGCTCGGCTGTATTCCATTACAGTAGCTTCAAGCTACCAATCTGTACATTCAAACATTTTAATGTATGTTCTTCATCTTGTTGTTTCTGGCAGAGACTTACTTAATGTTGTTAATAAAATCTGTTTGAATGATAATTTTCTTGAGCCACCATGTCAAGCCTGGTAATGTACTGGAACCAGAGAAAGTAACTTCCACAAATAAACACATGGCCAGAACCACAAATTGTTTGGCTCAAGAATGTAATTGGAACAGGAGGAAATAAGATCAAATGATACTTTATACTCTATTAAATAAGTCCAGGCTGACTTTTTCCCCCTATATAAATTAACTATTAAAAGGGACTCCAACTTTTCTTAGTTTTTTTTCTCCATTTTTAACTTCCTTTCAAAAATAATACTTTGCACTTCTATAGCACCTTTCACCTGAGGATCACAAAGCTCTTCAGAGTCATTAATTCACTAAGCGTCACAACATCGCTATGAAGTATTTAAGGAACGTATGGGGTCACAACCCAGCCTATATCTATCTATTGCTTGGATCTTTCAAGTATCTCAGATCTATTATTTTAAGAACTTTATATACTACAAGTTTATACACTTTATATATCTTGAATTTCAGACTTTGGCTTACTGGATTGTGGAGTGTTGGCACAATGAAAACTGTTGCTAACCGTAAGGGCTGACCTCAGCTTTAGCCAGAACACAGTTGTAATCTAGACTAACCGGTGTAGGTTCTGATGTAGGTTCCTTAAGTTAGGTAACTACATCCACATTTAGACACTTAAATAAAAGTGGTTTGATTTTCAAGAGGGGCTGAGCACATGCAATTCCCATAAACATCCTCTGTGGAGTTGAGGGTGCTCAGCCCCTGTGAAAATCCCTGTGAAGAACTCTGTGGCTCTCTGCTTCAAGAATGCCTGCCAAGAACCTTCTCTAGCCCCTCTTCCCTGGCCTCATGGTACAGATTGAAGGAGGCTGTGCTCATATCCTCACACAGGGTTTGCTGGCACTCTGAGGTAGTCCTGGGAAAGAATGCTCCCTTGCAGACAGAGAGCCCCAAAAGAAATGCTCTGTGCCATCTGCACAGTGTCTGTGGCTGCTGCACCTCCTGCCCCAGACTGCTTGCAGTGTTGCCAATGAAACCAAACAAGTCACTGGGCCATTGACATCACTGCCTCATCTCCCCGAGCATGCACACAATCTTCTTCCAGCCACTGCCACGGGTGGAGCTACCACAAAGCAAAGCCCCCTGGCATGAAGGAAGTTGCAGACCCCTTCCAGGAAGTCTTTTCATTGCACCCCCTCCTCAGCACTACTTTTTGGGCCACATGGGCCAGGTAGAGTGAAGAACCAAGACTTGGCCTTAAAGACACAAACACAATAAAATCTTCTCACTGACTGGCAATTCGTCTGCCAACCTGCTCACCTTGAACAAACAAAAACCAAGACCCATCAGGAGCAGAGGGTAGTATAATATTGCTAAAAGTGTTTGTTGTCATTTCCTTATCTATTACATCCTGCATTGTGGAACACAAGCTTCCTTGGCGTGCTGAACCGAGAGCACGGTGACAACTGCAGCTGCCAACTTTCATCCCACGTAGGAGGATTATTAATTGTTAGCTGAAGGGGAAAAAAGCCCCACAATGGTGACAACTGCAGACATAGGGTACTGACTGACTAGCCCCTCAGCTGGAGGGGGGTCATGTGAAGACAAAGACCAAACTCAGAGAAGAATTAAAAATGAAGAAGGCAGTGAAGCGCATTATGATGGGGGGTGGTGGTGGGGGGGAATGAAGGGCAATGTTTCACTGCTAGAACCAATTCAGTTTGATATTTCACTTACAGCACTGTAATCTTTTAACCACATCCTGCGAGGCACTGAGCAATGACTTCACCACTGCTTGAGGCCTCTCAAGATTCCCCCGCCACACAAAATCATGATTCTTACCTACAGTACAAAATGCTTCCTGAGCTTGAAACAAGTGCCATGTTTTATCCTGAGCTAGAATATATAACTTCTTTTAATATTCTAAAAATATTCATAAAAATTAGTGTTAACAATGTCCCTTATTTTTTCCAGCTATGTTCATATGTGAAAAGCATCTTATCTTATCTATCTGGCCTTATCTCTGAAGTATTTACAAGTATTTAAAAACAGAAATAATTACCAAAAAATAATCTGTCTGTCTTCCTTTCCAGGTAGTGGGAGAAATAGCTTGATTAGGTTACAGGGGTTTCTCTGTGCTTGTTTGTGTGTTAAGGATTGTGTTGTGTATGAGAGAGAAGAAATGAATGTGTGGTTTTAGTGAGTGTGTTGTATGTTTGTGTGAGAGCTCAGAGACTGGGGGAAAGCAGAGCTGAAGACATTAGTTAGTATTTAGCTCTGAAAGCGGTGGGGTCTGTAATCATTCTTATCTTCTGGGAACGTATTCTGCAGTCTAGCTCCACCTGCTGTGCAAGTTTTGCATCCCATACTCACTAGCCTCCCCCTTCTTGCTAATAGTGTCAGGGTTCCAGTGGAATGTACCTCTTGGAGGTTCTGGTTGCATTCTGTAGCATTATCCTAGAGAGGAGTTACAATGAAAGGAAGGATGGTGTTGTGGTTTTGGTCCTGTTCTAAGCCTCTGAGACTATTCCAAGATATAACCTTCTCTGTGAAATAAAAAGATAACTCCTCACAGCCAGTGGCGCTCTATTCTGGGGTTGAGTGGAGGCAGTATGGGCTTATGAAGCAATTTATTGTACAGAAAAGTTCTGGGAGGTGACTTTGCTGTCACAGTGGCAGAAGAAATACAAGCCCCGTTTGCCTCCTTCACAATATTGGCATAGACTTGTAGAAATTCTTTCCCTGATGGAAACCTAATTCCCCTGCTTTAACCCGCACTCCATTTCCAGAGCTCTATATGACAACCACTATATGACATGTAAAACTGGCAGTCTCTCTTTCCTTCTTGCCTGAGGGGTTTTCTGTTGAGTGATATGAAGCACACTCTCTTCCGTGGGCTGTCTGAACTCACAACTCTTGCTGCTCCAGAGAGAAAGAGACAAGCACTGACAGCTAAATCTAAGCCCCCCACATGGCAGCACAGGAAATTGCCATCAGCATATGGGATCAGCCTCCACGCCTTCCTCTTTAATGTTACTTTAAGGTGATTGTATTTTGTCTACATCTAAATATCGCAGTACTTCACAATCTGTACTAGAAATGGGCTAACAATCACTTGATTAAAACCACAAGTTTTTCAGAAGGGCTCCACTCCAAAGTAGGACTGGAGTGGGATGCTTTTACTACACGTTCAAATGTAAAAAATGTAAATGTATTGGATGAAAACCTGGCTACGCTGAAGTCAATGTGAGTTTTGCCATTAGCTTAACTGGGGCCAGGATTTCACCCATTATGTTTACTGGTATTTAGTGGCTATTGATAGTGTTATGAAATAATCAGGTACAGGACAGGCCTACGGATGGTTATGAAAGAAAAGGCTTTCATTCTTAACTAAATGCAGTTCTTAAGCCACTTAGTCTTAGAGCATATGTAAATCACAGGGGAAATTACTGAACTGGATTAGTTCATTTTGAGACCACTATATAGATAAGAAGTAAAAATTTGGTACCTGTCCATCTGTCCCAATGGTGCCTCCACAATCAGTGAGGAGCTCAGACATGTCATAATAGCTGACAAACTCCCATAAACAGGCCTCCAGGTTCAGATTTCGGTAGAAGCGTAAAGTACTGGGACCCCTGATTGATACACTGTGTTGGTAGGGAATGGTCTCTCCAATCACATCTGGATTTTTGGTAGCATCAGTCAAAAAACCATGGTGAGTCTTCACTTCTGTGTAATCCAACAGGTTGGAGCATTTATGATTTCCCACCCTAGTTCCATCAGGGCTGAGGGTTAGCTCAAAGTTGGACAGCTCTCTTGTGGAGATAACAGGTAACATGCCTAGAAGACATATGTGTAACTGGTGGCACCGTAACTACATTTTAACATTCAGTTCTGCCAAAATTTGCCAGTCACCTAACACATTATATCAGGTATATTAGACCCTGCTTTGAACATACAGAAGAACCCCACTAATCAATGTAAACAAATGTAAACAAAAATGATGTCCTTTGCATCTGTGTAGCAGAATGTTGGAAAATAATGACATCTTTGTAATATGAGACCTTGGGTAAAACCAGGTGCCTAAGTCACTTTTAAAAATGAGATGTTGGCTCCTAAGTCACCTATGTGCTTTCCCAATTTTATCCGAGATCTCATTATAAGATGTTATTCCGGATAAATTATGTTATAATGCATTAATTGCACATTATTAAGATTCATCATAAAATAATTAAAACTGAGCTATAGCTGTTAAGATAAAAGCACAAAGTGCATTTTGTGATGCAGTTTTCTTGCTTTTTAAATTTTGTTTACTTATTGGCTAATTAACTGATTTCCTAATCAACCCAGCAAATCAATTTCTACTGCATCCCTCACCATTCATTAAAATGCTTTAAAAACATTCATTAAAGTCTCCTAAAACCTCTGTGAAATTGGTAAATATGATTATACCCAGCTTGCACATGGATAAACTGAGGTATATTTAGGGTAAGTAACTTGTCCAAGGCTGGCAGCAAGACTGGGAAAAGAATTCTAGCTGTCTGCTCTAACCATTCTACACTCAAGCTAAATTTAAAAACTAGTTCACCAATGGCTGTTGCCAGAATGTTTAGATGCCCATTCTACTAGAGTGACACTTCCGTGTAACATAAGGAACTTCTGAGCTCAAATCAATCTCTGTTTTCTGAAAGGCATTCAATAAGCAGTGCTTAGGTATCCAGGAGATTTCATTCCCTCCCACCCCCCCACCGCATAACACTTAATATTCAACATGATAAATTCATCCCTGGTGTAACTTCATAAACTTCAAAGGAGTTATATTAAGGATAGATTAGGCCAATTTGTGCAAACTATGCAAATAATTTAGAACCATTTACTTTTCACATCGAAGAACACGAGGAAAAGAAAACATCTTGTCAGAAACTGTGATGGGGATGGTCAGGCCTAGTGGTTGGAGCCATGGCGGTCAGGTTTAGTGCTCGGAGCCGGGTGGGTCAGAGCTGGAATCAGGAGTCTGCCACGGGCTTGGAACGAGGCCAGAGTGAGAGCAAGGCTGCAGCAGGCCTAGGAAAAGGGCTGGAGCAGGCTAAGGCTTGTGGAATCTGTTGCCACTATCAGGCAGGGGCAGGTTCCAAGCCCTGGAGTGCCATTTACGAGACTGAGCTGCTGTTCCTCCTGTGAGGCTTATATACCTGCCCTGAGAGTCACCAGACCAGTTCCTGTCTTGTGGATTGGCTGAAGCCTAGAACAGGAATGACTGAACAATCCATGTGGCTTAATCAGGGTCTACTTCAGGGATGACTCATCACCTTACATTACCCTCCCACCCCTGCCCCGGGTGCTTTAGACCCCACTTGTCGGGGTGTGATTGATGGAATTCACGAAGGAGGTCAGGTACATGTATGTTACTGGCTGGTTCCCATGAACCATTCGGTGGGCCACACCCTTCCAATTCCATGAGGCACAGCAGTCATCCTCGGAGGAGCTTAGAGTCCAGGATCTGCCTCACCACATGTTCTTCCTGTCCCTGAGCCATGACGGGGAGTGGAGGTAGTTGTGTGCATCAAGGAAAGGAGTTGTTCACATATTTCTTTAACAAGGAAGTATGGAGTACTGGATGTATCTTCATGGTACATAGTAGCTGGAGTCTGAAGGCCATGGGGTTAATTTGTTGAATCATCTGGAATGGGCCAAGGTAATGGTGGTCTAGTTTCCTTGAGGGTCGGGAGGATCCAAGTGTTGAGTTGAGAGCCATCCTCTGTCTCTGACTGCCATGAGAGGATGGCCCTGTCAATGAAGGTCAGCGTTTCATTTGTAGTCCTCCTTGGCTGAGTTTAAGTGTGATTTTAATTTTTCTTGAATATGGTGGAGGTATTGAACCAAATCAGAAGCCACAGGGACATGGGAGGACCGCAGTACAGACTGATGAAATTGGAGGTGGAAGCTATAACTGGCATAGAAGGGTCTTTGGCAGGTTGATCTGTGAGTGGAGTTACTGTAAGCAAATTTGGCAAAAGGCAAGAACTGGAACCAGTCATCTTGCTGGTAGTTGATGAAGCAACAAAGTTATTGTTCTAGATTTTGGTTTATCTTTTCTGTTTGTCCCTCCATCTGGCAGAGGAAATGTGTAGGGTGACTTCCAGGAGTTTGAACAATTCTCTCCGAAAGTGGGAGAAAAACTGTAGCCCGTGATCAGGAATAATGTCTGTTGGTGACCCATGGAGCTTGAAGACGTAGTCAAAAATTCAGTGAGCTGTCATTTCTGCAGTGGGTATCTTTTGACAAGGCACAAAGTGCGCCATTTGGGTAAGAAGGTCAACAATGACCAGTATAGCTATGCAGCCCTGAGAAGTGGGGACATCAGTGATGATGTCCTTTGAGATAAGATGCTCATGGTTGGGTGGGGTTGGAAGCAGGATCAGGGCACCTAGAGGTTTGGTATGGGGGCAAGGGGTCTTCGTCCAGCTGCACACCTCACTGGAAGCACTGGAAGACTTGACAGAGGAGAATAGTTTTGGCTACCAAGTTGTGAGAGATCAGCTTTGCTGTCTACCCGTACCTGAAGTGGCCTGCCAGAGTGGAATCATGGCATAGCTGGAGCATTGCTAGACAAGGTGGTCCTTCAGGGACATAAATGTGATCCTTGTACCAAAGTACCTCGTTTCTGACAGAGAAGTTTGGGTCAAAATTGGCTGACATCCATGTCACCACAAGCACATCACTGGGCATGAGGATTTTACAAGGGCCGAAAGATTGGTGTTGGCCAGTATGTTTACAAAATGGCAAGGCAAAATTATCTAGGTACTCCCCCTTATGGGATAATGCATCGTCTCTCTCATTTCGGGTTCCGGTCTGGCAGACCAGGGTGAAGCTGAATCTAGAAAAGAAGAGGGATCTATGTATCTGACGCTGGTTCAGGGCTGTGGCAGTTCGGAGATGTTCTAGGTTTTTATGATTTGTGAACACCTGGACTGGAAAGCCTGCACTTTCTAAATAGTGGTGACACTCCTGAAATGCAGCCTTGATGGGCAGTATTTCCTTATAGTAGATTTCTTAATTTTGTTCCTCGAGTATCAATTTTGTAGAATAGAAGGCACAAAAGTGGAGGTCATTTGGGGGCCCATGTTGCTGAGATATTGTTGCCCCGATCGTGTAATTGGAGGCATCTGTTTTGATGACAAAGGGTTTAGATGGGAACACCACTTGCGAGAATCAATGGATGAATCATCTATAGAAACTGGTGAACCCTAGGAAGTACTGGATATCTTGGATGCTTTTGTGTGTCACCCAGGTCAAAACTGCAGAGACTTTTTTGGGATCCATACTTATTCTGTTGGGAGAAATGGTATAACCCAAGAAGTCCACAGAGGTGTGATCAAACTTACATTTCTCAGGCTTCCCATACAGACTTGGTTTGAAGGTGTTCAAGTACTAACTAGCCACACTGGTCATGCAAGGTTTGGTTCTCTGAAAAAAATAAGAACGTCATCTAGGTAGAGAATGATAAACTGGTCCAGAACATCCCCGAAGATATCATTAACCAAGTGCTGGAATGTGGAAGGGGCATTACAGAGACCAAAAGGAATGACAAGTTACTCAAAACATCCATATTGAGTACGAAAAGCTGTTTTCCATTCATTGTCCTCTCAGATGCGGATCAGGTTATAGGTGCAGCGTAGGTCAAGTTTAGTAAAAATGTTTGCTGAGCTGACCCTCTCCAGTAGTTCACTGATCAATGGCAAGGGATATTTTATTTTTGATGGTGATACTGTTCAGTGCTTGATAGTCTATGCAGAAGTACAGGGTGCCATCCTTTTTTTTGACAAACAAGATTGGGGCCCCGACAGGAGATGCAAAGGGACTGATAAAATTTTTTGCTAGATTTTCATCTAAGTACTCCCATTGGGCCCTGAGTTCTTAGGGTAAATTCACCCAAAGGGAATTTTGGCCCCTGGCTAGAGATCTATGGGGCAGTAGTAGGGCCTATGTGGGTGCAGAACAGCAGTATTTCTTTTATTGAATACATCCTCAAAGTCCATGTATTTTGTGGGAATTGGTAAGTTATCCTTACTTGGAGCCTGCTGTGTGCAAAAAATTGAGGACTTCCTCAGATTACGTCTAATGTCCTCGACACTAGGTTGGACTAGGCACTGATGCTGACAATAATCAGACTCAAACCGAATGTTGTGTGCTCTCCAAAAAATGCCTGGATTGTGGAGGGAGAGTCAGAGGATACCAGGCATGATTGGGAAGTGGGCTGAATCAATCAGGTTAAACTGCAGGGTTTCCTGGTGGTTTGAATTACAGTTCAGAGGGGGTCAGTCTGGGCCTGAGGATAGCAAAACTGGGCCTGAGGATAGCAAGCTGCCATCAATTGCCTCCACCAAGATGGGGGCGAGTTTCCTTTGCACTAGTAGGTGATGGACCCAGTGTCCATGAAATTGCCAGAGCCTCTGGAGTCTATCCGCACAAGCTGGGTGCTGCTCGCTTCAGGTGTATAGAGGGCCCAAAGTCGGAGCGTCATCTGAAGGTGGGATTGGCCATTGTCCACGATGGTTAGGATACACGTAGGTAGCAGAAGGGGTCTGGTCAGGGAACCCGATCCTGTTGGTTCATCTGCCTGTGTCTCTTCTAACGAGGCTGAACTTGCTCATTTTCTCAGACTAGCCACAGAACAGGACTTGAGGGGAAACCTGGTGGCAAAGTGGCCTCATTCCCCACAGAACAGGCAGAGGCCTTTCAGACAATGATATTCCTTCTTTTGATCTGAGAGGCACCTTCATGTCATGTCTACCTGCATGGGTTTGGGTCTGACGACTGCCTAGGGATGTGTGTGTGGCAGGAATAGGTCCGGGCTAGGCAGTGGCCAAGTGTGTACCTTTCTTCTTTCCTGGCATTACTCGAACAGTCAATTTGGATACACAACTTGATGTTGGGGAGCAATGCAAGTGGGGATCTACCTGGGCCAGCTTATCTTTAATCTCATCATTCGGGCCTAGACAGAAAAGGTAAATCTGCACTGCTTTGTTCCAAGCCATGTCAGTTACCAGTGATGGAAACAGGTGGTGTAGGCTGCAACAGAACGGGGATCTTGTTTGAGTGACTGCAGGGCAACTTCAGTGGAGTGGGTACGGTTTGGGTCATCAAACATGAATGAAAAGACACAAATGAATTCATCAAAGTCCTGCTCCAGGATTGGCGATGCCTAATCCAGTGCTTCCTGTTAATAAACTGCTGATGACACCTCTCTTGGTTTGTTTTTTCATGTACATTGCTAGGTGTAACAGGAACCGTAGGCAACAATGATTGCATCCCTCCCTCCCCCAAACAAAACTTTTGATGGTTCCCATCAAATCTCTCTGGAAGCAGGATCTTTGGACTTAGATCTCGGGCTGTCGTGGCTGATGATGTTAGGGGGGGCCTGGGACTGCTGGGAGGTGTGAGCGCAGGAAGGCACTTTCCAATTGTAGCTGGGCCACTTAGTTCTCGAGATCTCGAACTAGTTCTGTCATCTCCGTGGCAGAGGAGTCTAGAGATTTCATTTCAATTGTAGAGAGCACCTGCCAACATAGGAGATCCATCTTGGTCACTGAGCCCAATGGAGGTCAGTCTGCTCTAACTGTCAGAAACTATGATGAGCATAGTCGGGCCTAGTGATTGGAGCTGTGGCAGTTATGCCTACTGGTCAGAGCCAGGGAGTCAAGAGCCAGAATAAGGAGTCCAGTGTGGGGTTGGAACAAGGTCGGAGTGAGAGCAAGGCTGGAGCAGCACTAGGAACAGGGCTGGAGCAAGAGCAGGTTAAGGCTTGTGGAGTCTGTTGCCATCATCAGGCAGGGAAAGGTTCCAAGCTCCAGAGTGCCACTGAGCAGACTGAGCTGCTGTTCCTCCTGTAAGGCCTATATACCTGCCCCGAGAGTCACAGGTCAGTTTCTGGACTGTGGATTGGCTAGAGCCTAGCACAGGAGTGACTCTTCAGTCCATGTGGTTTAATCAGGCTCTAGTTGAGGGATGACTCATCTCCTTACACATATTTCACTATGACATATTGTACTATCGCAGGTTCAAATTACACATTCATGACATTTCTCCACTGTTGTAAACACTACGAGATTACATTGTGCTTTTGGCTACTTAAGACATTTGCTAAAATAAAATGAAGATGATGTGCACTCTGACCTATAGATGAAATTTTTACATACCATCAATATGAGGCATTGTGATGGTCAGTTTGATGAGATTAGCATAGTCTGGATCTTCCGGGCCAGTGTAGCGCAGCTTGGCCGAGAATGGCTCTGCTCCAACCACACCTGGCACCCGGGGCTGGCAAAGACCTAATGGAAAAGGGAAAAGCAACTTCACTTTGTGTCCAGAACAACATTTGACTCTGCTTTGCACTAATCTTACGTTTCTTTTTCAAATAAAGTAAAAATCTTAAGTGAATCCACATGTTTCATAGAATCTCTATAGATGGTAATTTCGTGCTTTAATAAGAATATAACATTAGGGATCTATTATCGACAACCTGACCAGGACAGTGATAGTGATGATGAAATGCTAAGGGAAATTAGAGATGCTATCAAAATTAAGAACTCAATAATAATGGGGGATTTCAATTATCCCCATATTGACTGGGAACATGTCACCTCAGGACAAAATGCAGAGACAAAATTTCTCGATACTTTAAATGACTGCTTCTTGGAGCAACTGGTACGGAAATTAACAAGGGGAGAGGCAACTCTAGATTTAGTCCTGAGTGGAGCACAGGAGCTGGTCCAAGAGGTAACTATAACAGGACTGCTTGGAAATAGTGACCATAATATAATAACATTTAACATCCCTGTGGTGGGAAGAACATCTCAACAGCCCAACACTGTGGCATTTAATTTAAAAAAGGGGAACTATGCAAAAATGAGGGGGTTAATTAAACAGAAATTAAAAGGTACAGTGACTAAAGTGAAATCCCTGCAAGCTGCATGGGCACTTTTTAAAGACACCATAATAGAGGCCCAACTTAAATATATACCCCAAATTAAGAAACACAGTAAAAGAACTAAAAAAGAGCCACCGTGGCTTTAACAACCATGTAAAAGAACCATGTAAAAAGTGGAAGTCAAATCCTAGCGAGGTAAATAGAAAGGAGCATAAACACTGCCAAATTAAGTGTAAAAATGTAATAAGAAAAGCCAAAGAGGAGTTTGAAGAACGGCTAGCCAAAAACTCAAAAGGTAATAACAAAATGTTTTTTAAGTACATCAGAAGCAGGAAGCCTGCTAAACAACCAGTGGGGCCCCTCGATGATCGAGATAGAAAAGGAGCGCTTAAAGACAATAAAGTCATTGCGGAGAAACTAAACGAATTCTTTGCTTCAGTCTTCACGGCTGAGGCCGTTAGGGAGATTCCCAAACCTGAGCCGGCTTTTGTAGGTGACAAATCTGAGGAACTGTCACAGACTGAAGTGTCACTAGAGGAGGTTTTGGAATTAATTGATAAACTTAACATTAACAAGTCACCGGGACCAGATGGCATTCACCCAAGAGTTCTCAAAGAACTCAAATGTGAAATTGCGGAACTATTAACTAGCGTTTGTAACCTGTCCTTTAAATCGGCTTCTGTACTCAACGACTGGAAGATAGCGAATGTAACACCAATATTTAAAAAGGGCTCTAGAGGTGATCCTGGCAATTACAGACCGGTAAGTCTAACGTCGGTACCGGGCAAATTAGTTGAAACAATAGTAAAGAATAAAATTGTCAGACACATAGAAGAACATAAATTGTTGGGCAAAAGTCAACATGGTTTCTGTAAAGGGAAATCGTGTCTTACTATCTATTAGAGTTCTTTGAAGGGGTCAACAAACATGTGGACAAGGGGGATCCAGTGGACATAGTGTACTTAGATTTCCAGAAAGCCTTTGACAAGGTCCCTCACCAAAGGCTCTTAAGTAAATTAAGTTGTCATGGGATAAAAGGGAAGGTCCTTTCATGGATTGAGAACGGGTTAAAAGACAGGGAACAAAGGGTAGGAATTAATGGTAAATTCTCAGAATGGAGAAGGGTACCTAGTGGTGTTACCCAAGGGTCAGTCCTAGGACCAATCCTGTTCAACTTATTCATAAATGATCTGGAGAAAGGGGTAAAAAGTGAGGTGGCAAAGTTTGCAGATGATACTAAACTGCTCAAGATAGTTAAGACCAAAGCAGACTGTGAAGAACTTCAAAACGATCTCACAAAACTAAGTGATTGGGCAACAAAATGGCAAATGAAATTTAATGTGGATAAATGTAAAGTAATGTACATTGGGAAAAATAACCCCAACTATACATATAATATGATGGGGGCTAACTTAGCTACAACAAATCAGGAAAAAGATCTTGGAGTCATCGTGGATAGTTCTCTGAAGATGTCCACGCAGTGTGCAGAGGCGGTCAAAAAAGCAAACAGGATGTTAGGAATCATTAAAAAGGGGATAGAGAATAAGATGGAGAATATCTTATTGCCCTTAGATAGATCGATGGTATGCCCACATCTTGAATACTGCGTACAGATGTGGTCTCCTCATCTCAAAAAACATATACTGGCACTAGAAAAGGTTCAGAGAAGGGCAACTAAAATGATTAGGGGTTTGGAAAGGGTCCCATATGAGATTAAAGAGGCTAGGACTTTTCACAGAATGAACGATTTAATATCTTGTCTATTATAAATGGTATATTACACAAAATAAAAAAGTTACTGTAGCAGCAAAGAGAGCAGGGGTGACAAAGAATTGTCATAATCTCACATAGGATTTATACAGTGCAACGCTTTGGAATTCTGTTTTGATTGTTTGACAACTATCACATGTAACATAAAAAAAAACCCCTTTGATTTCTGGGATGACCCTAAATTTTTATTTGACTTTTAAAATAGGAAAGCCTGATTTGTCACGTGGAAGATTATTTAAAGGTGTTCAAAGGGGAGAAATGTGTTTGTACTTTTTATAACTTCTTTATGATGTGTAGAGAAGTTCTAAAAGGTTTTTCTGCATCTCTCCCCATCTCCCCCTGCAGCCCTGCCAATAAAAGTTTATTTCGTGCTTGTTTTTTACCTTAGAAGTTCAGGTTTTATTAATTTTTGAAGGCTCCATAAATGACTAGAGAACAGGCAAGATTATGACATTAAAGATGACATGTAAGCTGATAAAGTAAGAGAGAAAGTCATTTTTTGTGTGGTATGCAAGTTTTGCTATAGTTAACGGATACATTACCCTCCTCGGTGCTTATTGTTACAATAGGACTCATGAGCTCTAGGCCTTCATTCCCATCCGAATTTACAGCACGAGCTGCACACTGGACCCGAGAGCCAGCTTGAAAGTAAATGGAGTCCAGTGTGATTATCTTGGAGGAAGTGAAGAATGTATCAAAGTCAACCTCTCTCATGGGACTGGTCACACCGTCAGGACCAGTAGGGGCACTAACCAGCCATCGGTATCGAGTCAGCGTGTTATTGATATTCTCGCTGGCGCATATTGAACCTGTCTTGTCGTAGTCTGTATATTTAGGATTGCAAGCCTGTGGAAAGAGTCAGACAAGTTATAATGATCTTATTTATTTGACGATAAAGAAAGCAATCCAAGTGGTGAGAAAATGATCGGGAAATTCAGATAAGGCTTGGCTTTAGCCACTATTACGCCTGGGGGAATTCTGCGCCACTGTGCACGCACAGTATTCATGTCCCTTGCACATTTCTTTGCTTCCCCACAGAAAAATGACTTTCTGATTGGGAAGCAAAGGAAAGCCACAACAGCGGTCATGTGACCCTCCCCAGCAGTATATTTTGGGTAGCCGGCAGAGAGGTAAATCACTGTGGGGCAGAGGGCAGGACTGGGGAAGACATGGCTGGTGGCTCCTACCCTGCGCTGGGCTCAGCTGCTAGTCCCGGCTGGGCAGGACGGGACTTCCTCTTCCCCTGCACGGCATCCAGGGCTGTGTCAGACCCACCTCCAGATTTCTCCCCAGGCTGCAGAAAGCTCTGCAAACTCTCCCCCTGCTTCCTGCACCCATTGCTCCTCAGCTGCAGGGGGAGGGATCCCTGTACAGGGAGCTGCTCCCCCATCCACCCAACCCCCATGCATCCAGGCCCCCTCGTACCTAGACTCTCCTGCTAAGCCTCACCGCCCCCGCACACAGAACCCCCCTGACGAACCCCACTCCCCCTGCACCTGGACTACCCCAACAAGCCACCCACACCTGGATCCCCACCCCACCAAGCCTCAACCAGCTGCACCTGGATCCGCACCCCACTGAGCCCCACTCCCCAGCATTTGGAATCCCCTGCAGAGTCCCATTACTGTTGCACCCAGAACCCCCCAACAAGCCCCTGTGCATCCAGATCCCCCCACACCCAGATCCCCCACTGAGCCACCCGCACCCAGATTGCCCCACACAGAACCTTCTCAACCCACACCTGGATCCTGCCACACTTGGATACTGCCGGGCTGAGCCTGCCTGCCCACCCCGGTGCACCTGGCATGGAGGGGCAGGGTCCTGGAGTGTGTCTGGGGCAGGCCAGGTCCTTGCACTGTGTCAGGGTTGGGAGCAGCCTCACTGCTGAGTCCATGTCCCAGGGGAGAGGGGGAGCTGCACAGTGATCTCCCACCTTTGTGCAGCCAGTGGCCTGTGCTCCCCAATGCCGAGCTGGAGCCTCCACATTTATTTGACAAATAAAATTAGCAGATTTTTGCAGAATTTTAAAATATTGTGTGCAGAATTTTTAATTTTTTGGCACAGAATGCCCTCAGGAATACACTGTGGAACAAAAGCACCAAATAAACCTTATACCAAAAGTGCAAGTTATGGATGGAGAGCTAACCTGTGCTTTAATCACTCAACAGTCAGGAAACACAACAAAGAAAAATTTCAGTGCAGGGCAAATTTGAATTTTTTTATTTTTTTTAAGAATACCCTTTTAGCAACTTATTCTGCTTTATGCTTATAAAGTTATAATTGTGCTTATAAGATTCCAGTTTTGATCTGAAATACTGCATATAGGTCAAATTCAGACCTGGGTTATGCAGTCAGTGCATTCAGTGGAGTTGCACTCCATATGCGAAGTCTGATTTGGCCCTTTGATTCAAGTCTCCCAATGTTCCAATGGCATTGTGCACAGATGTGTAACAAAGTTGCATGCAAGTTTTTACTGTGATTTAGGAAAACCTTGTCTAGTGCAATGCATAACCTGTGAAGGTGCACGCTGAAAAACTGTAAGACTCTAAAGGGAAGTGCAGATAGATAGAATCCTGACTCAATGTATATAAGTTTTAATGTCCACATTCGGTTTACAAAAATTCAGACTCAGTGCACCAAGGATTACGGAGGACCCTGACCTAATTCACTGCACAGACTGGACAGTGCAATAAATTGACTTTGATGGTGTAGGATCAGAGACTGAATGAGACAAGGGCCCTGAGGAAAAAATAGTGTGTAATCACATAATTAAAGTCATTGGACAAGGCCCTTGAGTCTGGCCAAGCTATGGTTGGCACAGGAAACAGGGGTAGGTGGGTGAAAGACGGCTTTCTGTCTCTGTTCGTCCCCCTAAAAGTTGATTTGGCCTCCACCCAAGTTAGAGCAGCTTCTATACTACAGCTTATACTTGCTTGTAACTTACAACAGCGGGGATTGCTGAAGTGCAGTACTTTCTCTGTTCACATTCCTTCCTGTCCCCCTAACACTCCCTCTATTGGAGAGGTGTCTGAGGGGTGATGTAGATTTGGCTACACTGCCTCTATGCCACATTCTATTAAAGGAGAAGCCCCAGCTGCCCTGTTAAGGCAGATTTTATGGTAGAAAAGGGCTGGATCATGAGCTGAGAATCCAGCCTTGAATTTTAATGTATGCACACAAGACTCAAGTTTCTATGTGAAACATTAATTTTGGCAATTTCCTGACTTGGAAGTATAGCTTTTTAAAAAACTTATTTTTTTGCTATAAGTATGGTAGCAAACTCTTGCTTGCATTCAGCTAATGGTGGAGGAAACTCCTTTAAAGTCAGATCCAAAATAGGATTTAAATGTAGTTTCTATTTTTAATATCTAAATTCCTGTATTTCACATTTGTTTCCTTTTTCAAAGATTATAAGCTTTCATATTATTTACCCAACCATCTTGTATGAAGAAAATATAGTACCACAAGCAGTATTGGCAGTGAACAACTTTTCATGATGCAACATACATACCGTAATAAAAATGTTTTCTGGAGACATTTATTATCTACCATTAGTGGCAAAAGTATTTGGAAAAGGTGTTCTATTTTATAATAACCCTTCACCACTTCCCTCAGGCAGTATACATTTCCATTGTCTCTTTGAAATCACCCACCTACTAGCTTTGTTCCCACTTCTCATCTTGATACTCACAGTGATACAGACAACAGGGTAGCCAGCAACTGGACCGGTTCTGTCTTTGGCTCTAGAAGTATCATCATATATCAAAAGAGAAGCAACCTGAGGGACTGAAGGAAAGGTGACATCTGCCATGCTGTTCATTTCTTCAATGTACACAATGGCCTTGGCTGTCTGGCAATTAATATACAGAAACACAATTTTTAGTGCAAATTTACAAAACCAAGGCAACTCAATCTGAAGGTTGATCAGGAAATATTTCCTAGCAGCAGCAGCATTTGTTAGCCTGCAGAATAGTGTCCCAAGAGAAATGACAGAAGCGCCATGGGTTGAGTTATTTAAAGCTGGACTGGAAGCACTGGAAAATATAGCGCAGGGTGAGAAACAGAATGGCAACAAAATATTTGTATTTCTCAGAAGGATGAAGGCATGAGGTCTTCCACTTCCTTCCTCACTGTGTCCTTGAGCCACATAGGCATAATGGCATAACTTATCTCTATTGAATGCTGCAGCTTCACATGTCTGGTGGATCTGTGGTGTCCGTAACTGCTAATAACAGCTGTATCTTTGCTGCCTGATGATAGGGAGCCAGGCGATAGTTCTTATTTACAACATTATGCAGGTGTGACACAGAGGCCCATTAGGGATTCTCGACTCTGGCAGCAGCTCTTGTCAGGCCAGGCATACTCCATACAGCTAACACACTGCCGTCATGATATATATCCAAATAGTGGGATGTAACATATCATTTCAAAACTAATAACTGACTTATTAATATTCCCGTGCTGTGTACGTGCAGGGTGTGCACAAAGGGATATGGATAAATGATAGAATTATGTTCTTAAAATGTGTTTGGCAAGCAATGCACAAGCACAGTCTACCCTACACAAAGGAATGTGGATTTGCTGGTCATCAGGCAAAGACAATGAAGGCACATTTACATAAATGGTAAACAAAGCCATCAATCTAGCGAGTGGGGGAGCTAGCCTCTTACGAAGAGCTAAACCTCAAATGATAAGTAATTGATTCAACTGATTGTATACAATATTACTGTATTATAAAAGTGTATCAAGTAAGATCTTTTATGAACGTTAACAACACATTGGCGATTAATATCACCTGAAATGTATGTATTAACACTATATGAGCAATTATGAATACTCATTGATATTACACTTAAAGTGTATGACCTAACAAATGGAGAAACAGGTTTTCTCCCAGACAGAAGGGAAGGCAACTATCTACCTGTCTCCAACGAAATTAAGCAAGAAGTGACCAAAAACAATGGAAGCCCACATTTACGGGAGGTCCACAAAAAAGTGAAGAATGGTTCATGAGGTCATCTTGAGTCTGGGGACAAAACAGTGAGTTTGGGAAGATATAAGGAGACAGAAGAAGCTATCTTGGCATCCATCACTGGACAGACACAAGGGGCCAGACCTCTTGTAAGATGAGAAAGATGAGTCTTTACAACCCAGGGGGTTGAAGTCTTTGGGAACTGAATATAGGTGAGAAACCTACTTCAGCAAAAATCTTTTGCCTGAGAAGACAAAGGAACCAAGCTGTCTTGACTTTGTGGGAGATGACCAAGGAAGCGGTCAGTCATCTTGCTGGAAGGAGGTGTGGTAAGAATCTAAACAAAACTAGTTCAAGACAGTTTTGGTCACTAGAAACCATTTCCAACTTTATCCCTTATACTTGAGCTCACTTAAAACCTCTCTCTTTTTGATTAAATAAACTTGTTTTACTTTCATTCTTGATACACTTTTTATACCCAGTGCTGTGTTTGACTTGAAAGGATTATTAACTCCAGTTAAAGCAACAAGCTGTCTCTTTAAAGGCGCAACAGACCTTATTACTCCTCTGAACATTCCAGGAGAGAGCTGGACATTTCAGAGCAGACAGTTTTGGGAAAATTCAGGGCTGGGGGTTTGTTGGGGTCACTTGGCTAGTAGCAATCAAGACTGATAGAGACCGGAGTGTGACTTTATTGTAACAAACATGCTGTTGGCACCTGAGTTGCTGAAACAGGGTGGTTCTACACACAGATACTCAGTGCATGCTTGTATGCTGACTGATAGCATCCAGACAGGGAGCTACAGCAGCAGAGCATTTTAAGACAATCAGGGCTAGAGGACAGGCAATGACACAACCTCTCACTGGTCTGGGCTGAACCCCACAATGTGACAACTGATTAAGAGATTAAATAGTATTAAGGATGTTGCACTTCTAAATCATGAATATAGAGAATCAGAGAAGGAAAGTATGAGTGTTAAATGCAGACAGACTGTATTAATAGGTAAGACTGTGCTACTATTTCAGTTCAAGCAACAAGTATAGCAATAACAGAACTATTATAGCAGAAGTTACATTTAATACATGTGTAGGCAGTCTGCCCAGGGTACTTCCACAGCTTCCAGCACAGGTGTCAGAAAGATCCTGTCAGTCAGTGTTTCCAAGACGAAGACAGCAGTTACTGAGAACTATCCTGATAAAGAGAATTAATTTGCAGGGAGATATTACAGATATTTATTTCATATATGCTCTTAGGAACATATATGTTCTCTGTGGCCCTTTGGGCTCTTCAGCCATGGAGGTGAGTTATTTTGGATGGAAATTTTAGGCTCTTCATTATAACCCAGCTGAAGAACAAGGCTACTAGAATAATAGCTATAAGAGGTCTGTCTGTCTGCCAGATTGTGCTGTTGAATAGTTTGTGTTACCTGTATCTCTGCCACCATGTTCTCATCAGGCTTCAGGTGAACAGTGAAGGCCTCTCTCATCTCCCTAACGCCGTCAAAAAGAACCTCAATCTCCACAATGTGCTGTGTTTCACCCTCCTTAAACTCAATTTCTAAAAAACACAATAAGACATTTAAAAAAACAAATCTGCTGTTCACATTCATCAGGTTGCTGATCTATTCTAGTCTGGCATGACACAGAGAGCTACAAAAGTTAATACTTGTCTTGCAAATTACATATGTTCACGTGACTTGAACAAACTAGTTTACATTATCCAAACACAATAAATACATAATTAATTAATTAATTAAATGTGTACTAACAGGGCCATCTCCTGTGGGAGTAAACATACCGTGTAAGGACCAAGAAAATACTGAGTTTTGGCTTGTGGAGTTCCCCTGGGATAATCCAGTCAGGGATGCAAGGTTTGCCCCTACCGCTTAATGGGCTGGACTTTCTAAATCCACAGATGTGAAATCCATGAGGAAATCCTCTGGATCACAGAACACTTGCAAAGGGCTGGGGATTTGTGGCAGAGGCACAGTGTTCCGTCCCTGTGTCTTCTGTGGTAGCATGTTTCCCTCAGAAGTCAAACCACTCTGTTGGTTTACAGCACAGAGGCAGAAGCAGGCGCAGGGTAAGGCTTACAGGGTTAGTGTCAGCTGATACTACAAGTTCCTGTGGATCAGAGGACGGATGAGTGAAACTCTTATGTGACAGAAACACATCCCACTCAGCAACTGGAATGAGACATTTCTTATTTGACAGTCTTCTTTCTGTTAGAAGCTTCTTTCCTCATTCACCACTGGGTAATGGGTAACTGCCTCCCACCTGTGGAAATCTGAGGGGGTCCAGTGTTCTTGCTGGAGGCTCCAGGATCAAATCCTGCCCTTCAGCTCAGGTCACCAGAAGAGTTCTTCCAAAGTGACAGAACTATTCCAACACCCGATTATTAGCATTTGGTCATTTCCCAGACTACCAGGGTAGGTGGAATGAGGAGAGAAACTGCTAGCAGAAAGGGAATTTTCAGCTAAGAAATTTCTCATCGTGCTGCACAGCTTCTCTTCTCACTCCTCTTTTCATGGGAAGTGGCAAGCAGTGAATCACAGAAAGAAAAAAGCAAAGGATAAATAGAGTTTTTAAACTGTTATTAGAGTAGGATAATAGATGCAAATAGAAGTCTCACCCCATAATATCGAGTAAGAACTTTGTATATTACAGAATTATTTGGAACCAACCCAGCAACATCTTCCTGCCAATAGACATCTCTGCAGAGGAATGGAAACCTACTTTGTAAATCTTCCTCAGATGAGGCTCATATCCTTTCCCCCACGATGATCCTAGGGAGCTTGCAGAGAGAGCCTTGACTCTGTCTCAACAAGTAATTTCTCAGTTGCTTAGTATGGCAACTTGTGCAGTAGTTTAACATCTTGCATGCAGCAACTTTGAGGCTCTAAGACCTTGGCATTTTGGACAGAATGAGATGAACAGGGTACAAGTGAGTGGCATGTGTACTCCATATGCTTGAAATATCCGTTTAGAAATCCATTTATGCCACCACCTTCCACAGGAGTACTATGGGCTGAAACAAATGATGGGAGAACTAATTTTCAGGAATTGTGGAAAGAAGAACTTACCTAAACCAGAAAGTTTTCTGGAGCTATAAGAATAAGCTATTCCTCGTTGCAACAGCTACTCCTGGGAGAATTCTGCACCACTGCATGTCCCCCTACAGATTTCTTTGCTTCCCTGCAGAAAGTAACAGGGGAGCAAAGGGAAGCTACACGAGGTGGGGGCTTGGGGATGTGCATGGATGTAGTTTGGGGGGGCATTGCCCCCCCAAACAGAAGTGAGGTGTGGGGGGGCACACAGGGTCACCTGCCACTGTCCCTCCATATTTCTGCAAACACAGAGCTGCCCAACTGAAAGAGGGTGCCGCTCGGCTCCGCTGACTTTGCAGCTGGATTCAGCCTCCTGGGTTCTAGTGTCTGTTGTGCTTCCCTTCTGTGTGCTGAGAGCCATCCTGTTTTCTGTACAACAGTGAGTGCCCGTGGTGGGGCAGGGCAAGGGAGATAGGGTGGGGCTGAGAAAAAGAGGCAGCGGTGAAGGAAGGGGATGGGATTGGGGAGGGGATGGGGAAGAGAAGTGCATCCAGATCCCCCACTGAGCCGCCTGCACCCAGACTGCCCCACACAGAAACCTCTCTCCCCACACCTGGATCCCTCCACACTAAGCCCCTTTACACTTGGATCCTGCTGGGCTGAGCCTGCCTGCCCACACCTGGTGTGCCTAATGCAGACCGATAGGGCCCCAGTGTTTCTGGGTAAGACCCAGCCCTTGCACTGCGTCAGGGTTGGGTGCAGCCTCACTGCTGTGTCTCTGTCCTGAGGGGATGGAGAGCTGCACGGTGATCTCCCACCTCCATGCAGCTAGTGGCTGGTGCGCCCCACTGCCATGCTAGAGCCTTCACATTTATTTATTGACAAATAAAAATTGCAGAATTTTAAAATACTGTACAAAGAATTTTTAGTTTTTTGGAGCAGAATTTTAAGTTTTTTTTGGCATAGAATTCCCTCAGGAGTAAACAGCAGTGCGGTTCTTGTATGGATAGAGGAACTAATTCCAAACCCTGTCTTTCTGAGGCAATGGTGACTAGAAAGGCCAGCCACAGGTTTAAGCTGTCACTCTAAGTAATCTTGACACCTGATGATCATGAGATGAGGAAAGAGATATCTCTGCCTAAAGACTACCACTAGGGTTGTTATGCCCTTTTCTGTGGTGTTTGGTTGTAGGATTCCAATCAGCCATCCTAGAGTAGCTACTCTAGAGTAGCTGAGATCACCAGAACTGTGGTGGTTGCTACTATTAGTTATATTCTGGTAGCATTGGGAGGCCAAGGCCCCATTGCGTTGGGCACTATACAGACAAGAGGCAGTTTGTTTGCACAAAGAGTTTTCAGTTTCCCCTTGCACCAGAAATGTAAGTTTGACCAGATCAGCAACTGAAATTTCCGGGTTGAGTTCTGCCTGCATACCAAAAAGTACTGATGAAAAACTGTCAAACCACACTTCTCTTCTGTTAACTGGCTGTTACTGTAGGTCATCAGGTCTGGATGAAGGAGTCCCTGCTTTAAGTGGTCTGGTGTTTTCTGCAGGTGCAATGGAGGTTCCTTGGTTTTCTATTAAGTCTGAAGTGCCTTCTGGGTCACTGGAGGAGTAGGAGAAGGATTTCAGCTCTCTCTTCCCCTTCCCAGGACACCATTTCCACTGCTGAGGAGAAGTTGTGACCTCAGGTTACTTCCTAGTTTTGGAGGGATATAGACACTCCTGCTTCAGTAATAAGCCAGCCTCTAATGGGAGGTAGGAGGAGACTTCCCCTGTGAGCACCATGACTGCTCTCTACATAGTTTCTTCCACCTTCTTTTGAAGTAACTGGTACTGTCATAGACATGACAATGGACTTGATGGACCCACTGGTCCGAACCCATGTGGCCATGTCTCTGTTTTTGTTCAGATACGTCACAGATAGAGTTGTGGAAGTGAACAATACAAGTTGCTGCTTTACAAAGGGGGCACTTGATTTTGCCTTTTTCAAACCCAAACTCTCGGAAGTTTGCAAGACTTTCCCCTGAGACGGTTGTGAGTGGGTTCCCCTCGCTGTGGGAATCCTCACGCTCCTGGCTGAGCTTCTCATTTTGGAATCATGGCTTCAGGAGGGGGTTGAGGCCTTACATGCCTGCCTGACTCAAAGCCAACCTCCTGCAGGTGTGAAGGCCAATAGCTTGTGGTAGCCAGGCATAGCACACTCTCTCCAGCCTGTGCCCTGGCAGTGTGAGGGTTGATGGCTTGTGGCATCAGGGCATAGCTCACTCTCTCAAGACCACATCCCATCATAGTAAGGTTTGATGGCTTGGGGAGGCAGCAGGGCACAGTTCGCTCCCTGAAGCTCCCAGAAAGCTGCCCCTTGGACTTGGGTCAATGCTTGCAGGGCTTCTCTGCTGCTGCAGAGGGAAGCAGACAGCCCACTTGAGAGGTGTTGTACTGGAGAAGACAGAGGATTAGAACCTCAGTAGTCCATTGATTCTCCACCTCAGGAGAGCGGGAGAGGGGCTTGAAGCTGAAATGAAGTCACTACTGCACGAAAACAAATAAGAATTAAAGTTATAAAACAAAATGCCATCTTCTTCCACTGCCAGAGGCAGAAAATCCAGTGGACTGAGCTGAAAGACAAAGCCTAGTCCCAGAGCCCCCAACAACAACATTGGATCGCTGCTGAAGTCCACAGGTGGGAGCCATTATTCATTAGTGATGAGCGAGGAAAGCAGCTGTGCCCCCACAAAATGACTATGGAATGGTTTTCCAGAAGCAACTGGAATGCCCACAGCCCTCAGTACCTTCACAATGAAATCTAACACCCGCTTGAAACTTGCCATCATGAGCCTAATTCATCCCTGGTGTAAACTCACCGACTTCCCTATAACAGAGTTACATCAGGGATTAATTTGTTTTATTATGGCTATGGCACCTTCAGAATGGCTACATGATCCCAAAGTAGAGTTTTGTCTGAGGTGAAAAATGGCTGCAGGAAACCATCCTAGGCCTTCAAAGCAGAATGCTAAAGGAGATTAATCTGTTTATCTGTATGCACATTAATAAACAAAGTTGATTAAAAATTGAAGTATTTTGACGTTAACAGTTAACACAAAGGATTCATATTTCCCTTCTAATAGTCTGGAGGTTTATTTCAGATAAGTTTCCAGGATGTCTGCAGCCCTCTGGGCACTATAGCCATGGAAGTGAACAGAAATCCTGAGGAGATGCATATTCTCTGAGGAGGCCACCCAGGGCTCGTCTGGCTGCCACACCTTTGCTCCCCTTGTACAGAGACTGTGACTCTGCACTCTAAATGGAGCATGGGGGAATTACTTTATGGAGGGACCACCTAATAATTGTCTGAGTGAGGTGTCCAAATACTTCCCCGGCTGACTGATGTCCAGAGAGTCTGTCCAGGCCACATAGGCTGTAGATTACTGTTCTCATTTTACAGCTCTGAAATGGAGCTGTCAGCCAGACAGCAGAGAATGAGAACAAGATCATGTATATCAGAAGGAAGGGTAGCTAAGAGTACCCCAGCAACATGCTCATTTCCCAGAAGATTGCTGGCCTATACCCGATCCCCAGCTCTTCTGTCTACTAGAGGTGCATGGAAGTTACTGTAACCCTAAGGCTGCATTAATCTCACCATGACCTATAAGGATGTAGAAGAGAACCAGTCTCAGGGCGGTTTGGGGTTGTTCTCTGCTCCCCACTTCCTTCCAAGCATGGAGTGAGTTCCCTCCACCATCCTTACACATCAGATCTGACAGTCTTCAGGGTCAGTCAGTTAAGTGCAGAACCAGGTTATGTGACTCTCTGAATCTTATTTGACACTTATAGCCACATAAACTGGATCAGATAGGCTACAGATAGATTATGTGCTTTCCAGATGCTGCCTGTTTCTAGTAATTTTCTTCTTTACTCCAACGCATATTTCCAGTTATTTCCCAAGGCATTGGTATTGTATACAAATTATCTATATAATCCTGATTTCAGGTCCTTTTACCTCATTTTGCCCTTTGTCTTTCCTGCTGAAATATGCAAATCACATCTATGAGATGCAGCATTAGGTTACTAACTCAGTGTATTTTCTAGTTTATTTATCAGTTATTGCTTCTGGGTTAACTTTGTTGGTATAATTCTCATACAAAATTTCAATATAAAAGTTTTACTTCCTTTGAGTTTTTACTCTGTGAGTAGGGCTTAGGGGAAAGCATTTCGCATTGCTGAATACTTACTTCAGAATCAGTAATGCTTTCTTTTAAAAACATTCATATGCTGGACTACTCTTCGAATTACTGAGAAGACACTGCAACTCCAAATTATTGGAAGCTAAATATAAAAAATATGACATTCCATTCCTGTGGCCTTATTAATCCCAAAGGCAAAAGGCACTAATGAAAGCAGCTAAAAGGTATTAAAAGCTTAAAAGTTCACAGTGCCTTTTTTCCCTTTAAATACTGTACAATTGTGGCTGAAATAACCAATGGGATGTGATATTGATCTGAATGACTGCCGGAGAGTCTCGTCATACCTTCTGACATGGGGTGATAGTCTTCTCCAGAGGTGGCAGAGCCATCCTTTGTGTGAACCCTCACAATGGAAACCTTTGAAGTGTCTCCCAGACGAAGCACTGGAATTTTTACAACAACCAGCTGTCCTACATCTTTTGGTTCACTGACACTAAATTTGGTCTCACCAAACTTAATAATGGCCTCTGTAATAACAGAAAACAGTGTTTAATAGTGTGCACAAAAGAGCTTTTAAATACCAAAGTCAAAATGATATGTGTATGGTCAAAAATAACTCCTCACTGTCTGCATGATCTCTGATCCTTATCAGGGTTTCATTTTGTTCACCAATAGAAGCACCGTAGGAGGAATCACTTCTTGGAGTGCCAAGAACCAGACGCAGCTCTTCCTCTTCTTCGTGGAGAGAGTCGTCCACAAGCATGAGGGTGCAAGGTTTCTCAGTCTCACCTGGAATCATCATGCAGAAAGTAACATCATGCAGAACTTAAAATTGTTTCTAGATGTACTACAGACATTTCTCTCAAGCTGTAGGACCCACAGGTCAATTCAACTGGTCAAAGCACCTGTACTGGCCCTATAGAAGTAAATAACTAATGAAAGTAGTAGCAATAGCATCAGCAACAACATTTTTATTTACTATAATAGTAAGACTAGGTATTTACATAGTTGTACAGCTAATATTGCACAACACATCTGAGAGGTAGAAGAGTATTATCCTCATTTTCAGAGGTGGAAAATGAGAAACAGGAAGGTTCAAGACCAGATTTTAAAGAACAGTCTCTAATTTTGGGTACTTTAATATATGGCAGCTCAACTGATTTTCATATCACTCTCAGCTCCCACTGATTCCAATGAGAGAAGTGGATGCCTATCACCTTGGAAGATCAGTAGTTACGTGTCTCAAGTTGAACAACCAGAAAACAATGTGCCTAAAATTAGTGATTACTCTGAACTTTTGGTTCTAACTGATTTAAGCCTATTTAGAACAGTGGCTCTCAACCTTTCCAGACTATTGTACCCTTTCAGGAGTCTGATCTGTCTTGCATAACCCAAGTTTCACCTCACTTAAAAACTACTTGCTTACAAAAACAGACATAAAAATACAGAAATGTCACTGCACACTATTACTGAAAAATTTCTGACTTTCTCACTTTTACCATACAATTATAAAATAAATCAATTGGAATATAAATATTGTACTTACATTTCAGTGTATAGTATATAGAGTAGTATAAACAAGTCATTGTCTGTATGAAATTTTAGTTTGTCCTGACTTCACTAGTGCTTATTCTGTAGCCTGTTGTAAAACTAGGCAAATATCTAGGTTTCAGAGTGGTAGCCGTGTTAGTCTGTATCAGCAAAAAGAATGAGGAGTACTTGTGGCACCTTAGAGACTAACAAACCCACTTCATTGGATACATGCAGTGGAAAATACAGTAGGAAGATATATATACACAGAGGACATGAAAAAATGGGTGTTGCCATACTAACTATAAAGAGAGTAATCAGTTAAGGTGGGCTATTATCAGCAGGAGAAAAAAAAAACCTTTGTAGTGATAATCAGGATGGCCCATTTCCAACAGTTGACAAGAAGGTGTGAGTAACAGTAGGGGGAAAAATTAGCATGGGAAATAGGTTTTACTTTGTGTAATGACCCATCCACTCCCAGTCTTTATTCAAGCCTAATTTAATGGTGTCAAGTTTGCAAATCATTTTTGAGATGGGGCGATCACATTTGCACGCAGTATTCAAGATGTGGCTTTACCGTGGATTTATATAGAGGCAATATGATATTTTCTGTCTTACTACCTATCCCTTTCTTAATGATTCCCAACATTCTGTTCGCTTTTTTGACTGCTGCTGCACATTGAGTGGATGTCTTCAGAGAACTATCGACAATGCCTCCAAGATCTCTTTCTTGAATGGTAACAGCTAATTTAGACCCCATAATTTTATATGTATAGTTGGGATTATGTTTTCCAATGTGCACTATTTTGCATTTATCAATATTGAATTTTGTTGCCCAGTCACCCAGTTTTGTGAGATCCCTTGGTAACTTCACAGTCTGCTTTGGACTTAACTATCTTGAGTAGTTTTGTATCATCTGCAAATTTTGCCACCTCATTGTTTACCCCTTTTTCCAGATGATTTATGAATATGTTGAATAGGACTGGTCCCATACAGACCCCTGGGGCACACCACTATTTACCTCTCTCCATTCTGAAAACTGACCATTTATTTCAACCCTTTGTTTCCTATCTTTTAACAGTTACTTATCCATGAGAGGACCTTCATAAGAGGGAAGGTCCTCTGCATCATAAGATTTACATACTGCGGAAAAAAGTTGCTTAGGGCTTGGAAAAAACAGAAGTTAAAAATGTGAGCATACAAAAATGAGGAGACAAGAAACTGTTCTCCAGTCAAGTAAAAGGAGGTTTGGACTGATAACCCCCAAGAGGGACTCAAGCAATTTTTCCCTCAAAGGGAGAAGTAATACCCCATTTCCTCATGTTTTTTCTTTGGGTTCAACATTTTGAGCCACCCAGGCAGACTGAGAAAGAAGAAATAAGCAGGAAGAAGGAGGAGAAATATCAGAGAGCAATAATTAGCTTAGCTGTGTCCCTATGCAAAGTTAAAAGGTGTTTACCCTTTCCAGCGGTAGATAGCTGGATTTGCTGATGGTCTGCCTAATGGGGCCAGAGCTTCTGGGGGTTTCCTCTGTGATATCACCTGCTATTCAGTTCTGCCTACAGCACAGCAATGGGATACATCTGTTAGGATGAGTGGCTGAGTCTTTGCAAAAGGATATCCCTTGTGTCTCTATAGATGATCCCCCTCTAGTTCAGGATTAAGGCAGGATGGTGTGAGGAATGCTGTGCTGCTGCTGCCCATGCTCTACCTATTCTGTGGAGAGAGAGTTTTGTTCCCCCAAACAGTCTGTATGGCCCTTGCTATGAGAAAAAAACTCACATGATTTAAAGCAAAACCAACTCTGACAGAATAAAGGATTCTAACAAAGAACTGTAGCTTACCAGGAAGGAAAGTGATGATGGAATCGTCAATGTTAGGACGTTCTTCAAAGTCCATCATTACCTGGGCTGAACCCTGCCGACTATAACAGCGCACTGTAGATGTGTAGCGGATATCCCCGCTCCTATATATCATGGCAGAAATCTGTCCATCATTTTCATTGCCAATGTACATAGGTTCTTTAAACTGCATCTTAGGCACTAGACAGACACATACAAAAGAAGGAATAAAATATCCAAAATGATCATTTCCTAGAGCCACTGCTTTTAACATGAGGGTGTTATGTGCCATGTTATATATGATTATGATGTGGCAGACTCCTCACCAGGTAGCAACTGATTTATTTAGCACATTTCCCACAATTCAAAGAGTGAAATCCTGGCCCGACTGATGTCAATGGAAAAATGTCCACTGACTTCAGTGGGTCCAGGATTTCACCACAATTGCTTTACAGAACTACAAGCTATGGCCCTGATTTTGATCTCAAACTGGTATAAATCAGGAATATTACCATTTATGTCTACAAAATTACAACTAGCAAATGTAAAACTAGTATAAATGTATTTATCTTCAGGCCTTATGTACATTTTCTACATTCCCCATGGTTTTAGGAAAATAAGTGAAAAATTATAGCCAGCTGAGAGTACATGTAGACCGGTAAGTGCCCAGACATTTTATAATAACCACAAGGGGTCAGGAGCCCGATTTTACACCTCATCCAAAAGATCACAACTTCAGCAATGTAGTGTTTCCAAACACCATGCCTGAACATTGGTTCCATATGGACTCAGAAGGAAGAATACTATCTATTGCATTGCAAGCATCATTTTTCTTCCTGTGAAAATAATTAATACTTACAATCAGAGACTGAGTCATTGATGAAGATGGTGGCTTTGCTTGGTTCTCCAAGGATAGCATTCATGGGCATTCGCAGCACAAGCTCAAACTTCTCAATTCCTTCTAATACTGGCTGTCCAAGGTCATCCAGAATGATCACACGGAAAGTCTGCATGTTGACTCCAGGGGCAAAATCCAAATTACGACTGATGCCTACATAATCTACCCCAGCTACACAAAGAAACAACATAAAATGGAATACATTGATGGAACTGTTTTTCACAGCATTTAGTTAAAGAAAATAAGGGATCTAAAGTCAGGAAGTTGATTACAGTAACTCATAAAAATGTAATTATCTCTTTCGTTTATTGTCAAGAAGTACTTTTTACTTTATCATTTAAAACTCTCTAGATATTTTGTGGTCATTCAAAGCAAAAAGCTTCTTACCTAGAAGGGATTTGGAGCAGGCCTGATGCTAACCTCACTTACCCTGTTGAAAATCAGGAATAACACCATTTAAGTGAATGGAGCTATATTGATGTAAAACCTTTGTAAGTGAGATACAAACTATAGTTTGGGACCAACCAGAGTGTGCTGGGAGAAATCCCAGAAATGAAGGCGATTCCTTGGAATAAGGATTTAATATTATGCCTATAATTCTAGGGGACAGTGCAGCAAATTATGTGATTAATGTAAAAAGGGAAAACAGAGCAACCAAGAGGCTGATTAAGAGGAATTACACTACTGATATCCAGATGAGATCTATAACAAGAATGAAACTTAAATGTAGAGAAGAGGGAAGGCAAACAGATTTTGGACCCCCGCTGGCCAGTGGCTAATGAAAGTCCAAGAGAAAGACAAGACGAGTTAAATTACATCCAGACCATGTCAGGTGGGGCCTGGCACACTTCAGTGTCAAAGATAAGAAAACCCAGTTCACTCTAGGAATAAAAAACAAAACAAAACAAAACTAGAGAGAAGTGAATGAGACAGAATGTTGAGTTATACCAGGACATGGTGTCTGGGTTCCAGGGTATTAAAGGTACCTAAGTCTGAGGTGAAAGAGTGGACTTTTGTGCATTTGCTGTGATATCACAGTCCAATCTGTTTTACTTCTCCAATAAACTCTTAAATAAAGAGATGAAAAGCCCTTACACATATTGCTGAAGGAAACAAAAACAACCCAACTCCCTCACAGCTATTTAACAGTTATCCAGTGAGTGAAGACCAAAACCATGGTCCTATAATGCTGTTATGCTTTTCTGGAACAAAAATGCATTCAATATTTAGGGTGAGGTAAACCCAACAGATCACGTGAAATAATAGTTAAGAAATGAAGTAAATGGACATTCTTTTTAGACATCTTAATAATCTAATTTTCCAAGAGAAAGCACAAAAATGTGGAAAGGCATACTAATGCTAAACCTAGACTCTATGTCTTCCTGTCATGGGCATCATAACAAGAAGGCTTATGACAACTCAGAGTATTTTAAAATTATATCAGAAACTAAACACTAACGTCCGTCCATGCTCAATGTAACCGTCTAGGAAAAATATTTGGATTCTTCATGACTTCTCCACATCAAAAGAACGCTTTAGCATAAAATGCCATGTTTTAGAAACACACTGAGTACAGTATGTCTCCAGCTCCAGATACCAATTTAGAGCTTGATCCTTTCGGCATGTGGATGAAAGCTCTGAGGGTATGTCTGCACGTAGAGCTGGGGGTATGACTCCCAGCTCACATAGACATACTCACACTAACTCTCCTGGAGCTGGCACACTAAAAACATTCGTGAGCTGGGGTAGCATGGGCAGTGGGTGAGCAGCGGCATGGGCTAGTTGTGCTGAGTACCTACCTACCTACCTGGACCCCATGGGTACGTACTTGGGGCAACTAGCCTGTGGTGCCACTCACAGCTGCCTGTGCTGCTGCACCTGCACGACTATTTTTTGTCCACTAACTCTCCTCAAATTAGCACAGGAGTGTGTCTGTGTGAGCTGGGAATCATTCCTCTAGCTCTAAGGGTAGACACAGACTAAATATAATGAGCTGAGGGCAGCAAGAACTGCAGGCTGGTGGGCTGGCAAGAACTCTGTGCCTAGCATGTATTGGGAGGCAATGAGCAACTGACCATGAGAGATAATAGTTTGTGGGAACCATTGGAAGGCTGGAGCTCATAATTTGCCCTTGCTTCCATTTCCTTCTAAGGGCAGCTCTTAAACACATTTGAATAAGCCCTTACTTCAGCTTAGCAGTAGGAATAACTGTGATATCTAAAAATGGGCTGTATGCATCTCAAATAGATCATGTGAAGTGCTGAGCAACTTAAATGTTTAATTAAATTCATGGTAGCTGAGGGCAGCCAGCATCTTCCAGGATAAAGCCCATGATTTCCATTCATTTGTTTTCATTTCAACACCTGTCCATGCCCTTTCTCTGTTCCTTATCATGCTCACTTTTCCTCTTACTTACTATCATGCAGTTCAGTGTGGGCACAGATGTCTCCTCATAGTTCTGAACATCACACACATGCATTTCTTCACACTATGGAGAAGCCTCTGTCCGAAGGTTCAGAGCAAACACCAAGTGTGGCATGCCTAGCCTTGAGGCTCTCTGAGCCACTTCTGGGGCTAAACCAGAAGCATTCAGGATTGAATCCACACTGGATGTACCAGTGCTCCATGTTAAGACATATTAAGGAAAAATGACACTAGAGCAAAATGATCACTCACCCTCTGCAGTTATTGGCTCAGTTTTGCGAGACCTTACTGTAACAGTGGCAGCTTTGGACAAATCAGTTCCAGTTCTCCAGACATGCACCTCAACAAAGCCAGCACTCTCATCAACATAGTATTCGACATCTCCAAAGTAGAAGGCTGGTTCTGGTAAAAAGGTTAAAGTAATTTAAAATCATTAAAGTTTGCTTTTTACCGGAGAACCTACTTTTAAGCATATATAAACAAATTAAAAATATATACAAGAGGAAGGATGGTCCAGTGGTTAAGGGCAGGGACTTGGCAGTCTAGGGTTCAATTTCTCTACTTCAAAGGGGGGTTGTGAGGATGAATACATTAATGATTATAAGGTGCTTAGACAAATGTTAATGTATGTATGGCAGACAGAAACAGAAGAAGTCAAATCCTAAAGAGGAAAATAGAAGGGAGCATAAATTTTGGCAAGTCAAGTGTAAAAGTATAATCAGGCAGGCCAAATAAGAAATTAAAGAACAAGTAACAAAAGACACAAAAACTAACATCAAAATATTTTTTTAAGTACATCAGAAGCAGGAAGCCCGCCAAACAATCAGTGTGGCCACTGGACAATAGAAGTACTAAAGGAGCACTCAAGGAAGACAAAGCCATTGCAGAGAAGCTAAATGAATTCTTTGCATCAGTCTTCACTGCAGAGGACGTGAGGGAGATTCCCACACCTAAGCCATTCTTTTTAGGTGACAAATCTGAGAGACTGTCCCAGACTGAGGTGTCAGTAGAGGTGGTTTTGGAACAAATCAAAAAAATTAAACAGTAATAAGTCACCAGGACCAGGTGGTATTCACCCAAGCGTTCTGAAGGAACTCTAATATGAAACTGCACAACTACTAACCGTGGTATGTAATCTATCACTTAAATCAGCCTCTTTATCAGATGTCTGGACAATAGCCAATTAAAAAAAAAAGTCTCCAGAGGCAATCCGGGCAATTATAGGCCGGGAAGCCTAGCTTAAAACCAGGCAAACTGGGTGAAACTATAGTAAAGAACAGAATTATCAGACACATAGATGAACATGATTTGTTGGGGGTAGAGTTAACATGGCTTTTTAAAGAGAAATCATGCCTCATTAATCTGTCAGAATTCTTGGAGGGGTTCAACAAATGTGGATAAGACTGATCCAGTGAATATAGTTTACTTGGACTTTCAGAAAGCCTTTCATAAGGTCCCTAACCAATGGCTCTTAAGCAAAATAAGCTGTCATGGGATAAGAGGCAAGGCCTGTCAAGGATCAGTAACTGGCTAAAAGACAGGAAACAAAGGGTAAGAATAAATGGTCAGTTTTCAGAATGGAGAGAGGTAAATAGCGGGGTCCCCAAGAATCTGTACTGGGACCAGTGATCTTCAACATACTCATAAATGATCTGGAAAAAGTGGTGAACAGTGAAGTGGCCAAGTTTGCAGATGATACTAAATTATTCAACATAGCTAAGTCCAAAGCAGACTGCAAAGAGTTACCAAGGGAATCTTACAAAACGGGGTGATTGGGCAACAAAATGGCAGATGAAATTCAATGTTGATAAGTGCAAAGTAGTGCACATTGGAAAACATAATCCCAACTATGAATATAAAAAAATGGGGTCTAAATTAGCTGTTACCACTCAAGAAAGAGATCTTGGAATCATTGTGGATAGTTCTCTGAAAACATCCACTCAATGTGCAGTGGAAGTCAAAAAAAGCTAACAAAATTATAGGAACTATTAGGAAAGGGATAAATAATAGAATCATAGAATATTAGGGTTGGAAGGGACCTCAGGAGGTCATCTAGTCCAACCACCTGCTCAAAGCAGGACCAATCCCTAGTCAGATTTTTACCCCAGTTTCCTAAATGGCCCCCTCAAGGATTAAACTCACAACCCTGGGTTTAGCAGGCCAATGCTCAAACCACTGAGCTATCCCACCACCAGTGAATATCACAATGCCATATAAATCCACAGTATGTCCATACCTGGACTACTGTATGCAGTTTTGGTCTCTCCATCTCAAAAAAGATGTATTAGAATAGGAAAAGGTATGGAGAAGGGCAGTAAAAATGATTAGGGGTATGAAACAGCTTCCATATGAGGAGAGATTAAAAAAACTGGGACTGTTCATCTTGGAGAAGAGACGACTAAGAGGGGATATGATAGAGGTCTATAAAATCATGAATGGTGTGGAGAAAGTGAATAAGGAAGTAATATTTACCCTTTTAAGAGCCAAGGGTTACCCGATGAAATTAATAGGCAGCAGGTTTAAAACAAACAAAAGAAAGTAATTCTTCTCACAGTGTCCAGTCAATCTGTGGAATTCATTGCCAGAGGATTTGTGAAGACCAAAAGTATAACTGGATTCAAAGAAGAATTAGATAAGGTCATGGAGGATAGACCCAGCAATGGCTATTAGCCAAGATGGTCAGGTATGCAACCCCATGCTCCCTAAGCCTCTGATTGACAGATGCTGGGAATAGGCGACAGGGGATCGATCACTGGATAATTGCCCTGTTCTGCTCATTCCCTCTGAAGCATCTGGCATTGGCCACTGTTAGAAGACAGGATACTGGGTTAGATGGACCTCTGGTCTGACACAGTATGGCCATTTTTACATTCTTATGAGTAATTCCATCTCTATTTAGCAGTGCTCTTAACCCCATGTTCAACATGTGATAAAGTCCAACTGAAGTCAAATGGGACTTAAACATGTGCTTTGCTGAATTGGGATGGGGTTATTCTCAGGATTAAAGTTAAGCACTATCTTAAGTGTTTTGCTGAATTGGGCCTTAGGAAACAGTTACCTGATATGCCAGGCAAAAGTGAGAATCCATTTAAAAATGCAATATTGTTTCAGCCCACCCAAATTACAAAGAGTACATACACATTTTATTTATTTTTACAGTAACTCCTACTCCTGGGTGAATTCTGCACCACTGCAGATTTCTTTCCTTCCCCACGGAAAATGATGGGGAAGCAAAGGGAAGACGCCCTGGAGGTGGAGGATCTGGGAAAGCCCATGGGCATTGCTCCCCCAAACAGAGGTGAGGCATGGGGGGCATGCCGTGTCATGTGCCACTGCCCCCCTCCATTTCTGCAAACTCAGAGCTGCCTGGCTGAAGGAGGGTGCCACTCAGACACCGCCTCCTAGGTCCTAGTGCTGGTTGAGCTCCCCTTTTGTGTGCTGGGAGCCATCCTGTTTTCTGTACAAACAGTGAGTGCCTGTGTTGGGGCAGGGCAAAGGGGCAGAGTGAGGTGGAGGAAACAGGAAAAGAGGGGTGGGGTGGAGAGAAGAAACAGAGGGGAAGGAAGAGGGTGGGATAGGGCAGGGGAAGGGGGATGTGGGAGTGAAGGGATGGGGAGAGGGATGGGGCAGAGGACAGCGGGGAGAGGAAGGGGAAAGGAATGAGATAGGGAACAGTGAAGAGGGAATGGGGCAGGGGACAGTAGGGAAGAGAGATGGGATGGGGACGAGAAGGGGCTAGGGGAATAGGGCAGGGAAGTGGGAGCCCGGCATGCAGCATCCCCTCGACAGCAGCAGTAGCTGGGGCTCCCCTATTAAGCAGGCCCATCAAACCCTCACGCCAATGAGTGCCACCCCCCTGCACCTGGACCGCCCTGATGGGCCTGCCCGCACACAGCCTCCCACCCCAATGAGCCCCAACCAGCTGCACCCAGACCCTCACCCCGCCAAGCCCCACTCCCCCAGCACTGGACCCTCCGGCTGAGCCCCAACCACCTTCACCTGGAGCCCCCTGCAGAGTTAAATTGCTCCTGCACCCAGAACTCCCCAACAATCCCCTGTGCATCCATATCCCTCACTTAGCTGCCCGCACCCAGATTGCCCCACACAGAACCCTCTTACCCCACAGCTGGGTCCCCCCATACTGAGCCCCTCTATGCTTGCATCCTGCTGGGCTGAGCCTGCCTGCCCATACCTGGTGTATCTAGCACAGAGGGTCAGGGCTCCAGTGTGTTTCTGCAGCTGGCCTGGCCTTTGTGCTGTGTCAGAATCGGGTGCAGCCTCACTGCCAAGTCCCTGTCCGGGGGTAGAAGGGGCTGCAGGGTGATTTCTCTGTGCGCTCCACACTGCCATGCTGCAGCCTCCACATGTATTTATTGACAAATACAATTTGCGTAATTTTAAAATATTGTGCAAAGAATTTTCATTTGTTTTTGGTGCAGAATTCCCTCAGGAGTAAACTCCCTACATACCTTCTTGATTTAGGTCTGTCCAAACCCACTGTAGGAGGACAGTACCTGCCTTGAAAAGTTTAGAAGCTAATTTAAAACCAGATGCAGTATTGTGTATAAAAAAGAGCAGAAAGGAGCACAAGGGATACAGAAACGACACATGTATGATTAGAAATTATTGAAACCTACATCTTACTATCCTGCATACAATTCCCTACCCTGAGGGTAACAAGCAACAAAAGAATGAAACCGCACTGAACCATCAGTAGGAGAGCAGCTCTCTTCTTTCAGCAAGCATAATAAAGCATTTTTTAAAACCTATATGAGGGGTTCCTGGTATAGTTTACATTAATGCAAAATTACAATGTGTTTATTTGTTTACATACTTTGGGCCAACAGGCGATAAATCTGCACATCACATCTCACTCCCTTCCTGCACTTTCAACTCTAGGTACCAGTGTGTAGGAGAGTGTGTGTGTACAGATTAACGTGTTATCTTATTAACCTTATTCCTTGCTGGACCTTGTGCACTAGCCAATACATTCCTTGCATTTCTCACTTCAGTGGAAGCAGACAAAGGTGAAGATAGATACTGAGACCTTAAACAGGGTTTCAATGCAGAAATCTGTTATCCAGACCAGATCGGAACATGATGCAGCTTTGTGAACTGTTTTGTGAAAGGTTGTCCCACAAAGTATGGGGACAAAACCCTCAATCTGATTTCCCACAAGTAACATTTAGACTGAAATCAAGCTTATTTCCCATTCTGAACCATGCGAGTACTGTCCTTATTTTAACATTTTAAACCCCTCAGATTATAAGAAAGAACAGCAAAAAATGGAGCAGGGGGCAAGTTATCCCATTTAATAGTGATATATTTATCTGCATTTTTCCTCTTTTTTCAGAGAACAAATTAACAAACATAAATGCTTTGCACCTAAATACACTGTACTG